GCACCTCGCACGGCAGGTTCAGCATGCCCGCCATCTTCAACGAGTTCGCAAGCAGCCTTGCAAGCGGATACAATGACGACGAGGTGAGGTGAGGAGGCAGACGAGGGTCTTCGACCTCGGGGCATCCGCTGCTCGCGCATCACTGGCTGTGACCGTGTGCTGGCTTGCTCGATGTGCTCACGATGCTTCGAATCGCACTTGTACCGACTGGCTCCTCGCCTCGACGCGTGGCCGCCACGCGGCTTCTCCTCATCGCCTCGACGCCTGGGCGGTCGCGTTTTCGGTGACACTGCGATGTGGCGTTCTGTCCAGCCTTCCGCGGACGGAGGCAATTGCTTGGAAACTACCTTGCGGCGGACAGGATCAGGGAAGAGCTGTGCGGCCCGTACAAGGGGCGGACAAGTCGTCGGACCATCCAGTTGCGGGAGAGGGGCTGGGACATAGCTGTGCGGCATGACGATGCTTCAAGCAGGCTTCAAGCTATGTCTGAATGCGGTCGCGGCACTGCCGTCTCCCGTCTCTAGCTCACAACTTGATCCAGAGGTTCCGTCGGGCGCTCTCCTGCTGTTTTGGCGGGCGCTAGGCAAGCTTCGCTTCTCCACTCCAGAAGCTAGTCTATTGAGGACGCTACACGATCGCTAGCAATGGCTTCCCTGCGCTGTCGCCGTTGTAGTCAGCGTTGACACCTCCAGCGAATGTCAAACCATCTCAACGCGTCCTCTCGCCTCGGGCCAGGACAGAAAGACTCGTGAGCGCCGAGAGAGCCTGTAAGAATCGGCACAAGCTGCGACTAGCCGAAAGAGCGCGTACGAGAGAGGATATCGCGGTCTCGTCCAGGCGTCGCTGGCTTTGTCCTCGCCAACTCACCGCTTCACCCGCTCGAATGCCGCGTGCGCCGCCGAAGAAGCGCCAGAGGGTCGACGAGTCGCCCCAGCCGCAGCCCGGTGCCATGCAGACCCGCTCGAAAGCGTCCACACAGCGTGCCGCACCCCCACCTCAACCCGCTTCGAAGAGCAGGCAGGTCGTCGACATTACCGACACGGACGACGACATGCTGGGCGGGGAGGACGACGAGGAGGCATTCGAGTACGAGAGCGACATCGGCTCGGCGGCTGGAGGCAACGCGGGAGCAGAGGACGGCGACGAGGAGGACGAGGAGGGAGCGGGGGAAGTCGACGACGAAAGGGACGCTGAGATCATGGTGCTCAGCTCGGACGACGACAGCAGTGCCCAGGAACCTCCGCCCGAGCTGCCCAAAGCCAAGGGCAAGCTCACCGCCCGCAAGCAGTTCGCGCTGGACATCGACGACCTCTGGAAGCGGTTCGCGGGCACCCAGGACGAGCTTGTGACCGGTGCGTTCGCTTCGTTGCCGTGCTTCGATACGTCTCCGCTCACCGCATGGTCCTCCCGCAGGCTTCAAGCGCGACGACGGCGACGACATGGTCCGCTTCTCGCTCAAGCACCCGAAATTCCCTCGCGGCCTCAAGCTCTCGCTCATGTTTCCCGAACTCGGCGGCTACCCGAAGACCCACGAGGTCATGTGCTTCACGGAGAACGAGGACGTGCCGCCCGAGGTCGAGGTTGCGCTCGGAGAAGTCGCCCAGTACGTCCGGCACGTTCGCTCGTCCAGCTTCTTCGCGACTGACGCATGTCTGCAGTCTCCCCAAGCAGGCCGACCGCTCGCTGAACGGCGTCGTCGAGTTCCTCATCCACCGCATCGTCCGCCTCCAGCCGAACCCGTGGGCGACGGCCGCGACGCAGCAAGACACGGACGACGAGAACTTTGACTACGAAGACGAGCTTATGGACGCTGGCATCAACATCGCCAAGGATAGCGAGCTCATGAAAGCGCTCAGGAGCGACTTCAAGCAGCTTCTCGACGCCGGCTTCCGCCCGGGCTTCACGCGTGTCTCGGAACTCGAACTCGTCGTCTCGGTCTCGAAGCGCGTCAACCTGCTCGGCGTCCCTGCGCGCGCGCTGCAAGCCTGGGATTCGCGCTTGATCACCGGCAAGATCGTCTACCTCGTCTGCCTCATGAGCTTCGGCCGCTACCCGGTCGACCTCGACAACCAGACGAGCGGCCAGGTAAAGTTCAAGGTCGGCATCTCGCCCAAGTACAAGCCGAGTAAGGCGGCCATTGCGTCGGCCTTCCGCGCGCACACGTCGAATCCGTACACGTCAGGCGAATTCGAGGCCATCTCGCTCTCGAACCCGCTCGACGCCCTCATGAACGACAAGTTCCAGGAGATCCTCTTTACGCGTCGCTGCAACGACCGCGTTGGATGGGCGGGCGCCGAGCAGCACTGCTTCCAGCACGGCAAGACGGATACCGGCGTCGAAAAGAAGAAGGCGCGCGCGGCCGACAAGGAGGAGAAGGACCTCTCGGAGGCCCACGCCAAGCTGGTGCGTCCTCACAATCTGCTGTATCAGCTGGCGAGCATTGCTGACCTAGTTGCCGCGCCGCAGCTCCCGAGGGACCCGATGTCGAGCTCGTCGACCGCGAACAACTTCCCCCTCCTCGCCTTCTCCTACCTCGTCCGCCGCTTCATCATGTGCCCACGCTTCTGCCTCAACTGCTACAAGCGCTGCGACGAGAAGATCACGTCGCTCAAGCCATTCGTCTGCGACAACCCTCTTTGCCTCTTCCAGCTCATCCAGCTCGGCCTCGGCCCGTCCCTCGAGCACGAGATCACGTCCAACACGGCCGCAGTCGATCTCCTCGTCCAGCTCGCGTACATCGGCGCGAAAGAAGGCGGCCTCAAGGGCGAACTCCTCCCGAACGGACTCGGGCTCCAGGTTCCCGAGACCGCCAAGGCGCCCGAGCAGATCAAGCCCGATGACCCGACTGTCGACTTTGATTCGCTCACCGACGAGAACCAGAAGCGCGCCGGGATCGCGGCGCTCATTGCGCAGCTACCGCCGATCGACGAAATGAGGCGTTGGTTGCTTGGGCTCGACATGACGGACGACGAGCGCCTCCTCAACAAGATTCGCAAGTTGACGGACATGTGAGTTACGGCGCTGCCCAGTGCGAGGGAGAACGCCGCGCTGACAACGGTGGAATCGTTATCCTCCCTTCCTCCCTCTTCGACTTCTTCCTTTTCTTTCCCTCTTCCTTCCTAGGCGCGACGGCAAAGTCCCTCTCTCGGCATGGCGCCTCCTCCGCTTCATCGTCGCATCGAACACGGCCTACCTCAAGCAGATCGACGACCCCGACGAGTTGGTCCAAGGCGTCCCGTGCGACTACCGCCAGTTCAAGCTCATCGTCGGCTCGCCTCTCAAGGAGCATCTCTTCACCGAGTCGGTCAAGGCGGCGCAGGCGAAGGACAGCAACGCCGTCCAGTTTCCGACTCTCTTCGCCTGGCACGGCTCGGCGACCAAGAACTGGCACTCCATTCTGCGCACGGGTTTGCACTATCGCGAGGTGATCAACGGTCGCGCGTACGGCGCGGGCTGTTACTTCGCTCGTGAGGGCGAAGTCTCGCTTGGCCACTACGCTCAGCCCACCTCGACAATGTGGAAGAACGCCGACTTTCCGATTTCCAAGATGGCCGCCATCTGCGAGATCACCAATCTCCCTACGGAGTTCGTCTCGAACAACCCGTACTTCGTCGTCTCGGATATCAGCTGGATCACGTGCCGCTACCTCCTCGTCCAGCGGATGGCGTCCTTCGCCGACGGGACCGAGACTCAGTCCGTTGCAAAGACCGGCTCGAGTGACCTCGTCAAGGCTGGCCGCATCAAGACGCTGGCGCTCGACCCGAAGTACCCTATCACGCTCAATCGCACCAATGTCGAGTTCCCCGACGTCGGCGACAAGCTCGAGAAGCTGGAGAAATCGCTCTCAAACGAGCCAGAAGACCTGCACGACTCGGACACGGAGATCCTCAAGGAGCCGCCTGCGCCCGCGCCGTCGAACAAGCTCAAGAGGACGCAGTCGGGCACTGCGGCGGCTCCGGCTCCTCGCGAGGTCGACAAGTTCGTTCCGGCGGACGCCAAGCGTCTCGAGGTGCTCAAGATGCTCCCGCCGCCCAAGAACCCGAACAAGGCTGCCGTGTCGATGATCCAGCGCGAGATGAAGTCGATGCTCAAGGTGCAGGCGCAGGAGGGCCCGACCCGCGCCGGGTTCTACTTCGACCCCGAGCGCTCGAACGACAACCTTTTCAACTGGATCGTCGAGCTCCCGCTCGAGTCGTTCGACCAGGACATCCCGCTCGCGAAAGACATGCGCCAGAGGGGCGTCAAGAGCATCCTCATGGAGATCCGCTTCGGCGACACGTATCCTTTCTCGCCGCCCTTCTTCCACGTCGTCCACCCGCGCTTCATGCCGTTCATCAGGGGCGGAGGAGGTCACGTCACGGGCGGCGGAAGTATCTGCATGGTTCGTAGCCGTCATTCGGAACTCGCTCGGATCTGACTGACCTTCCATCGGTCTCGCAGGACTTGCTCACGAGCGACGGCTGGTCGTCCGTCTACACGATCGATGCCATTCTCTTGCAGATTCGCATGTGAGTCGCGCTGCCAACCTCGGGCTCCCGCACTTGACTGACGAGACTTCTTCCTGCAGGGCCATGTGCGATCGCTCCTCTCGCTCGTTTCTGCTCTTACCGCTCACTGCTCCTGCCCGCAGGTCCAACCTCGAGCCTCGTCCTGGTCGCCTCGACGAGCGGGACTGGAACGTCCCGTACAATGTGAGTCGTGCGAATCGTCTTCGATACTTTCGGTCGTTGATGCTCTCGCTCGCAGATGGACGAGGCCATCGCCGGGTTCCGCCGCGCTGCCGCCACGCACGGCTGGACCGTCCCCGCCGAGCTCGACGCATTTGCGCGCCAGGGCTGAGAAGGAGTCGCCCCTTTGAGGAGGAGGAGGAGGAGCCGCTTGTCCTGTGTTTCCCCGCTTTCCGCATCTCTTTGCATTCTTCGTTCTCTGTGTGCACTCCTCACCGTTGCTTGTAGACATACCCGCTTTGCAAGACCACGCCCCTGTCGATCGACGAGGAGAAGGAAGAGGAGGTCGTCTCTCGCTCGAGCCTCTTTGCGTAGGGCACTGCGCTGCTTCCTTCGTCTCCTGCTCTCCTACGCTTGCTGGCGCTGTAGCTGCTCCCCCCTGCCATGACGAGCCGTGTGAGTCTGGACGCGCTCCATCACCTTGCGAGCGGGCTTGCTCTCGCTCGAGTCGCGCTCTCGCTTCCTCCTGCTCGTATTCGAGTGTGCGCCGTGGCTGCTCGACCTGGACTCGTGGCTGCTCGACCGTGACGACCCGCGCCAGCACCATCCTCGCTTCTCGCCAGACACCGCGTCCTGCCACGCCCTCTCGCGAGACTTGGAGTCGATCAAGGTCCTGTCCCTCCTCCCTTCGACGCTCGTGCAGCCGTAGAGACGTACGATGTTGCACCGACGGCGGCAAGACGCAGACGGGCGGGCCTCGCCGCAGCCTCAGATGGCAGACAGGCGCTCGCAACCTCAAGGCGGCATCTCGCAACTCCTCTCGTCCTCCGCACCCGACAAGGTCGCCGCACGCCGCCGCATCCTGTACATCGCAGGCGGCGTGTGCGCATTCTTCTTCCTCCTTCACCTCGTATCGGCACCCTCGGGCGGCTCGTCGCGGTCAGGCAGGTCGCTCCCAGGGTTCGGGTCGCGGAGCCAGTACGCCTCGTCGAGGCGGACAGACGCCCTCGTTCGCGCGGCGAAAAAGAACCGTGCGGCGGCGAGCATCTCGCACGGCGGGACGGGCGGGTACGGCCCCGCCAACTTCAGCGAGCCTCCGCCGTTCACGTTCTGCCCTACGTTTGGGCCAGGAGACGAGCTCGGGAACGTCTACGGGCGTGAGCAGATACTCAAGACCCGAGCACACACTGGCAGCTCGGAGCGGGTGAGGAGGGTCATCAAGCGCGCGATGGCAGGGTTGCCCATCACCGTTGGCGTTTTGGGAGGAAGTGTGAGCAGCTGTCACGGACTCGATGCGACGCAGGCGCATCCGTTGGGCAACCCGACAGGTCCCAATTGCTACCCGCACCGCGTCTTCTCCTGGCTGAACGACGTCTTCCCGCACCCGGCGAACGAGTTGACGAACGGCGCTCGTGCGTTCTCCATTCCCTTCTCTCGCTCGCTAGTCCGATTCACGGTTTTGTTCCTTTGCAGTGCGACGAACGGGCACCTCATACTTCGGCTTCTGCTCCGAAATGCACCTGCCTGATCGTGTCGACCTCGTCATCGTCGAGTTCGACACTGAGGACCCGCAGTGAGTGTCCCCACGCCTTCCAGTACTGATCTCCAGGCTCATCCGATGCCCTTGCAGCGAGGCGACCACCCTCTCAACGACCGACCTCCTCGTCCGCTCCCTCCTTCTCCGACCCGACCAGCCCGCCGTCATCATGCTCGGCCACTTCTCGCCTCAGATCCAGGGCGAGCACGGCTTTGCCGGTCCCGAAGTGTGGCACTCGGCGGTTGCGCAGTTCTACGACGTCGTCCACCTGAGCGTCAAGGGCCTTCTCTACGAGGAGTACCTCCTGAACCCGCAAAAAGTCCGCCAGACCTACTTCCTCGACCCGATCCTCGCCAACTCGAAAGGCCACGAGCTCCTCGCCGACACGCTCATCGCGTACCTCGAGTCGGAGATCTGCCAAGTCTGGGATCAGGCGGCGCTCGAGACGGACCTCGCGTCGCTCATCGGGTCGAAGCAGGCTGTCTCCCCCCTCGCGCTCAGCGACGACTACCCGTCGCTCTTGTCGGGCAAGGGCCTGCGCAAGGCTGCCGACGCGGGACTCGACGCCGAAGACTCGGACACCTCGCAGTCTGGGTCCGGCCGGATGGGCAGGTCAGGCTACCTCCGCATTCCGCCCTTCCGCATCACCGACAAGCCGCACTCGCTCGCCCACTTCCGCGAGATCAAGCCCAACTGCGCCTCGGCGAACGACTTGATCAACCCGCTGCCGCAGTCGGTCTTTGCCGGCTCGGGGTGGTCGCCTATCCAGCCGAGGCCGGACGACGAGGACGAGACGCACTACTGGTACACTGACATGCCCGGCTCGCTTCTCAAGATTCCGATCAAGGTCGGAGCGGGAGACATCGCCGTTTACTACCTCAAGGGTCCCGAGGCGGAGGGTTGGGGAACGGTCCTGTGCTGGGTCGACGACAACGTCGAGGGTGCTGTCGAGCTCAAGGGCCACTGGGAGAAGGACTACGGACAGCCAACGTGAGTCTTCTACCCTTCCTGCGATTCGGCTCGCATAGCTAAATTCCTGTCCCTCTTCCACAGCGTCACGCAGATCGACCAGGGCGTCACGAAGGGTCCTCACTACGTCGTCTGCGAGCTGCAGGGTCAGCCCGGCATCGACCACGCCCGCTTCAAGCTGTTCGGAGTGTTCTCAACCTAAGGCGGCGCTGGGAAGCAAGATGCGGCGATTCATTCGCGTCGGAGGACACCATAGAGTTATTCGTTGGAGCGGTGGCGTGGAGAGGGGGCGGGAGGACCACTTACAGACGATTACGGCGATGCCTCGATTGCAGTTTCGAACGACGACAATTCTCCCGACCCAGCCCTCCCCACGCAACGCCTTACGCCCTCTCTTCTCCCTTGCATATCCTCTATCTACTTATCTCCACTTCCAGCGGTCTTTCAGTCGCGGTACAGTAGTTTCGTCAACCTCTCCCTCTCTCTCCCTCTCTTGTGTCGAAAGTCCTGCAGTATACCCTTCCGGTCGGCTCATCGTGCGTTGCGTCGCATTGCTCTCGAGAGTATCCCTGACGTGAGCGAGACGTCCTCAAGCGAGTGCACTACCTTTACCTCGATCTGAGAAGGTCAGGACGAGGTGAAGCTGCGCTCTTTCTTCGCCCCTCCCGCCTTTACTAGTCGGAGACAGTCTCTGCCGGTACGACGCTGTTGTTGGTGGATCGCGAACAGAGCGCGACCGTCACACAACGGGAGCGTCGCCGGTCTGAACTTCGACGAGGCCAAACACGACGAACTCTCCTTGCGCTCTTCCTCTCTCTCCCGCTTCTCGCCTTCTCTCACGTCCGGTGCTCCTACCTCGCTCAAAGCTCTCCAGACTCATCCCACCGGGTGCTCGAACGATGCGCTTCTTCTCCGCCCTCCGCTTCCCTTCATCCCTCAGGTCACGCTCGTCCCGACAACGAGCAGCGCTGAAGAAGACGGCGAGGAAGGCGCCCGATGCACTACTGCCAGTGCATTTCGACCAGACTGTACGTCCGGCCTTCTCTGTCTCTTCGTCGCGAGCTGACGACCTCGAAATCCGCAGCTGGCGCTCCCGGTCACATCCATCCAGCCTTCTCCTCTCAGCGCCATTCCTTCAGAGACCCACGAAGAGTGCCGTGACGAAGTACCCACGAAAGACGAAGCTGCGCCAACCGCCGAAACTGCTTCCGCAGAAGCAGCGGCGAATGACTTGATGGCGCGAGTGCACGCATACCGGCTCGCACGGCACGCTGCTATCAGGAGCTGGGCTGTGAGCGTTTATGTTGCAACACGAGGCGAGGAGGAAGAAGAGGAGGACTGGACAATGCCGCTCTTGCCGCCGCTTCCTGCGCCCAAACGTCCTTACGCCAACTCTCCTACTCATTCTGGTACTCTCCCCGCCACTGCCTCAGCTTCTGTGGGTCGACGAGAAGCTCCAACGATGCGTGCGGTCATCCAAGAATCTTGTCCTTGCCCACAAGCAATTTCCTCTCCCGCTACCTCCTCCTCTCCCTCCGCTTGTTTGGGACCAGAGTCCACCCCGCCCACTTCCCTCTCTCTGATCTCTGACAAAGACAAGGCAGTAGATGCGACAAGGTGATTCGAGGTAAAGAGACTTTGTGGTGAGCGAACGAATGTACGAGTGCAATTCAAAGGGCGGAACGTAAGGTACACAACATGCAGGATCGGGCGACTGACAAAGACAACAAAGAGGGAAGAGAGCAACGATGAACACAAGCTTCACGCCTTCTCTTTCTGCTTCCCCTTCGCCTTGGACGATTTGCCCTTCCCCTCTGGCAACGCCAGGCCGCCTCCGCCCTTCCTCGCACCCGCTCCGCCCGCCGGCATCGACGTTGACGCCGCTGCCGTTCCCAGCACGCCCGAAGTCGTCGACTGCACGCCGCCCTGGACCGTCCCTACACCCGCCGCCGCATCCGCCTTGGCCGCCGCAATATCCTCCTCGTCCGCATACGCGTCGAGCGGGTTATCGAATCCTCGCCGTGCTCGTGCAATCTCCTCTTGCATGAAGAGCAGCTCGTCGATACGGGCAAGCTTCTTTGGGTCGCGGCGGAGGGCGAAGCGGAAGTCGTCGACTTTGATCTTGCCGCGGTTGGTCGAGATGAGGTGCGCTTGCATGCACTGTGGGGAGAGTGTCAGTCTGACCCAGAGCGACCAAGAAGAACAGTGAGGCAGCCGACTTACGATATCCGTGATGTGCTCAATGACCAGCTCCTCCATGACCGCAATCGAATCTGGCGCAGGGTTCTCATCGCCGAAGCCGTACATCATCGGTGCCACTGCGCCAGCACAAGCAGCCGTCAGCTCAGCGTGTCTCGAGCGGCAGAGGCGACGGTGGGGAGACGGACAGTCCTTGGCGAAGAGGCCCTTCTTGATGAGCCTGCGCTGCTGCGACTGCCTCTGCTGCTGTTGTTGAGCCGACATGGCGCCTCAGGAGTCGAACAAAGCAAGGTTGTGCTGTAGCGGGTGAGTTGCAGGAGGGAGAGAGGCCCTCTCGATGGTTTCGAGGTGACCATGGCGTCCTCACCGGCTGAGCGGCCAGCTGGACACGCTGAGCAGGTCTACATCTCTGCTGCTTGCTCTCGGAAGAACGCCACAGCTGCCAGACCGCACGACGGGCTCGTCGCCTTCGCTTCCGGCCGTCTCATCGCTCTCTGGAAATCAGCGGTGCGTTCTCCCTCACAACTCGCTCAGGAAGGGCTCAAAGCTGACGAGAAAGTCTCTCGGATAGGATGGGAACCATGCGGGAGTGCACCGAACGCTTCCAGGGCACGGAGGAGACGTGACAGCCCTCAAGTTCGCTCGAAGTGAGGGAAAGAGCGATTGCTTCGTGTCGGGGGATGCTACTGGCATTGCGAGGGTATGGCTGGAACGGGATGGAGAAGTGCGCCGGCCTCGACTTCTGCGAGACGGAAGGAAGCTGATCAGCCGATTTCGCAGTGGGTTCACCTCGCTACCTTGACGGGGCATACCGGCTCAGTCTCAGCACTGGACGTCTTCCAGCTCGACTCGGACGGACAGAAGGCGTATCTCGTCGTTACGGGAGGCTCGGATTCGATGCTGCGAGTCTGGACGGTCAACCAGTCTGGCGAAGGTACGCTCGAAACACCATTGCGCTTTTGAGGAGGCTAGCTGACATAGCTCCACTCAGCAAACTTGCGACAAACGGTTGGCCTGAAGGGCAAGATCCCGCTCGAGCTCGCTCTAATGCGTCTGCCTTCCTCGACGAGTACGCTTGAACCGTTCCTCACGTCGCATCTGCGACTGACCTTGTGTGCTTCGCAGGTCTCGTTCTTGCAGTCGGTGGTACCGAGACGCGGATACAGCTGTATACCTCGCGCGCAATTGGCGCGGACATCGAAGTGACTTCGCATTCCTCTGTCTCCCCCTAGACTCCGCTGACCTGTCGTCCGCAGTTCCGCAAGTCACTTTCGCTTGAAGGGCACACCGACTGGGTCCGCTGCCTCTCGTTCACCACTCCTATACCTACCGACACACCCTCTTTCCCTTCCACCTCGACCGCCTACGACATTGCGCCAGGCGAGATCCTTCTCGCTTCAGGCTCGCAAGACAACTACATCCGACTTTGGCGATTGTCACGACGACCAGACGAGTTTTCGACGCCATCTCCCGCTGCCGAGAAGACTGGTGACGGTCTTGACGCGCTCGATGAGCTGGAGGAAGCGCTTGCCGCCGCAGGAGACGAAGAGCTGCGCGTCAAGGCGCACGACTTCTCCGTCGCGGGCGACGGCGAGTACAGTTGTACGAGTGAGGCGGTACTGCTCGGCCACGACGCGTGGGTGACAGGCTTGAACTGGGCGCCCCGACTCTCGCACTCTACGCCCGCACCTCTCCAGCTCCTCTCTGCGTCCGCCGACCGATCTATGATCCTCTGGGAACCTCTCGCCTCCGGCTCCGTACTTCCCGTCAACCCTTCTCTCGGTTCTCACGCAACCACTTCAACCGCCTCCGCAACAGTCTGGACCTCCCTCCGCCGCTTCGGCGAGTTCACCTCCTCGACCAACCTCGGCTTCTTCGGTGCGCTGTGGGGTTACGACGGCAAGACTGTCCTGGCGAACGGATGGGGAGGGAGTTGGCATGTCTGGAAGCTGGAGGGTGCGGAGGGAATGGAAGATTGGGTGCCGCAGGTCGCCGTGAGCGGACATCTCGGGACGGTCAAACAGGTTGTGTGGGAGGGAGAGGGAGAGTACCTGCTCAGCGCAAGGTGCGTTACATCGTCTCCTGCTGCTGCGACGGCTGCTGACGCCTCTCTTCCAACGGCAGCAACGATATGTCGGCTCGGCTATACGCTCCTTGGCGACGACAAGCGAACGGGAAGAAGATCGAGACGTGGCACGGTGCGTAGAGGTCGCCTTGCGCGCACAATTTCGACAACTCACGAGACCCTTGAGCAGAACTCGGTCGACCGCAGATCCACGGCTACCCTCTCGCTTCCGTCGCCTTCACCTCCTCCGCCAAGCGCCTGCAGTTCGTCAGCGGTGCCGACGAGAAGATCGTACGAGTATTCGATGCGCCACGACTTTGGCTGCGAACGCTCAAGACGCTGAGCGGGCTGGACCTTGGAGACGAGGAGGAGCGACCGATGGCTGCCAACGTGCCGCCTCTCGGCTTGTCGAACCGCGCAATTGCATGTACGTGTCCGAGCTATCAGGTTTGCGGTTCTCGCTGACGCTCCTGGCCGAACAGCCCCCGCCGAGGCGGAGAAGCTTGCACCCGCTTCAAGCGATCCGTTCGAAGAGGTCTTCCCTGTCAACTTCACCGTCATGGAGCATCCGCCTTTGGAGGAACAGCTTCTCGGATCGACTTTGTGGCCCGAGGTGGGTCGCCTTTTCCTTTCATCCCTTTCCTCCCGCTCATCGCCCGGCTCGTACAGGTCGAGAAGCTCTACGGTCACGCCTTCGAGCTCGTCTCCGTCGCTTCCGCCCATTCCCTCCCCCTCATCGCCTCCGCCTGCAAAGCGACCGCACCTGAACACGCCGTCATCCGCCTCTTCAGCACCGAGACCTGGCAACCGGTCGGCGTCGTACTCGACGGTCATGCTCTGACCATCACGAAGCTCGCCTTCAGTTCGGGAAGCGAGGATGTGCAAGATAAGTGGCTGTTGAGCGTCAGTAGGGACAGGACCTTCCGGCTGTACGAGCGGGACGATTCGCAAGGACTCGGTACGTACACTCCTTGCTTCCGCTCGAGAAGGACGCAAAGGACTGACATCGCCTGTACTCAGGCTTTTACCGTCCCGCCGGCGACGCCAAGCCGCACGCCCGCATTATCTGGGACGCCTGCTGGGCATCCGACTCATCCTTCTTCGCGACGGCCTCTCGTGACAAGACGGTGCGCTCGATCTTTTTATTTGCGGCGTGCGTTGCTGACGGATTGCCATCTCGCAGGTCAAGGTTTGGGCCCACCGCGACGCGAGCTGGTCGTGCGCCGCGACTCTCAAGTTCGAGGAGGCGGCGACCTCGGTCGCTGCGACGTTCTTACCAGGCAGAGGGTGAGCTTTCGTCCGTCTGTTCGAGCACCGAAGCGCGTTGACAAGAGTCCGGCGCATTTGTCAGGCTGCACTTGCTCGCCGTCGGCCTCGAGAACGGCCACATTCACTGCTTCACCGCTGCTTCAGCGAGTCTCGACACCTGGACGCTCCTCTTACAGCTCAACTCGAGGTTCGGCGCCGCTCATTTTCCAGAGCGATGATACTTGTGCTAATCTCTCCTTCCACAGTGTTGCCCATACCCTCGCGGTCACCACCTTGTCGTTCTCGCCCAAGCTTCCCTCGCCCTCCACCGCCCGTCTCGCTACAGGCTCGGAGGATCACACTGTCCGCATCTTCGATATCGCAGCATAGACTAGATTGCAACTCACTGAAGTCGACAAAAGGAAAGGAAAGTCTACATGGAGTCGGTACACAAGCGCTGAGCTATACAGATAGAGAACGAATGAAAGATGAACCCGCTCCCTCCGCTCGCAAGGTGGAGCGCCCGCGATACGTTCCCTCGCCGTTCGCCGTCCCGAAGAGGTCGCTGCTGAGTCCCTTTCTTGGATCGAAAAGCTGCTTCTTCGGCTTCTTGTACGTCCAGCCAGCAAAGGCGAGCTCCTTGCGCACTTCAAGCAGTCGCGACCCTTCGACAGGATGCTTGAGGAGCGGGTCGCGAGTCGAGTCGGGTGCGGGCACGCCAGGAGCGACCTCAGGCGCAGGGAGAGGCTCGGGCGGGATGTCGTCGTCGAAGTACTTCGTGTCCGTCGGCGAGCTGAGCTGCGGGCGGAAGGGCGGAGTCTGGAGGTGAAGGGTGGAGAAGTCGAGGCCGCGGAACCAGGGGTGAGCCTTGATGTCCTCGGCGCCGTCTTTGCCGAGAGGCGAATCGCCTAAGAAGCCGGAACGCTGGTTCTGCAGGACCGAGTTGGGGCGAGCCGACGTCGAGCGCGAACCGAGGCGGTCTTCTGGCTCGCAGATCAACCGGCGGATGAGGTCCTGCGCCTCACGCGAAACTTGCGGCTTGGAAGGGAATCGAAGCGCCTGCCGCCAGTTGTGGATCTGGGAGGAGGGATCATGAGTGTTTTTCTCGGCCAGGTGCGAAGGAAGCGACGCACCTTCGCACGCGTCTCCTGCCGAGACTTGCTGACGAACGGCGGAAAGCCGTAGAGCATCTCGTACAAGATGACACCGAGCGACCACCAATCTGCGCGAGAATCGTAGCCTTGACCCCGAACGACCTGCACGAGAAACGAAATCAGCGAGGAAGGGAAGGCAGCAAGCGGAAGGCCCTCACCTCGATCGCCATGTAGTTGTTGGTACCGACGACAGAGAACGCGAGCCGTCGACGCTGCATATCTCGCCAGGTGAAGACGGAACCTGGACTCTCTTCCTCGTTCGTCGTCCTCGGAGGGTCGAGGCTGATCCGGCGTCTTGCCATATCGTCGCGACCACCGCCGTCTTCGAGGTCGATGCCATGCTTGTACAACAGCTCACGCCGCTGCTGCTCGAAGTACGCGCCGTCGTGAGCCCAGTGAAAATCGGTTGCGAGGCCGAAGTCGGAAATGGCGAGGTGACCTTGGGCGTCGATGAGCCAGTTGTCGGGCTTGATCTGCGGTGGAAAACGTGAGCGCGCGCTGATCGGGAAGGCAAGAGGACGTCGCCAACGCACGTCGCGATGAATCGCGCCAAGGACCTGGTGCGTCTCTTGGACGGCCAGCACCATCTCAGCCATGTAAAAGCGCGCCATCTCTTCGGGGAAGGTGTCGCGCTCGATGAGGAGGGAGAGAAGGTCTGTACGAGACGGTATCAGCGAGTCTTCAACAGAAGAGAAGGACGCCTCGCGCACCTCCGCCGGCATAGTAACCCATCACAAGGTAGAGGTGGTCGACGTCTTGGAACGAATAAGCAAGCTTGACGGTCCATCGAGTCGTCGTGGCTGCCGTCGCAAGCAAGTCGCGCTCGGCACGGATGTGACCTTCTTGTCCTGCGACGAGGAGGTCAGCCCGAGGCAGCGGAAGCAGCAGCGAGTATACGCACCTTTGCGCAACATGTCTGCCTTGCGAAGCTGCTTCATTGCGTAGACTCTGTGGAGGAAAGACGGAAGAAAAGGGAGGTTAGGAAGGTTGGCCCAAATTTCGGTAGCGAGGAGCGGGACGTCCTCGCCCGTTCCCTTCTCCCTGACAAGCGAGACGACGCCGAAAGCACCATGACCGATCGTCTTGAGCTTGACGAAGCTGCCGACACCAACTCGACTCCTCATGTCGCGCAAGTAATCCGACTCGCTCAACGCCCACGCCTGTCGCGCTGCTGCCTTCTCCTCAGCCGAAAGGCGGAGCTTGGCGAGCTCCCGTTCGAGCAGCGCCCGTCGGACCTCGCGAGATCGCGGCTTCTTGAGGAGGGCGTGGTACTTGTCTTCGAAGAAGACGCGAATCGCGACCGCCTTTTCGACAGAGACAAGCGAGGGCACGAAGGTCGCAGTTTCGAGATCGAAAGGCGGCATTGAAGAAGGAAGAGAGAGGCCGTCAAAGGAAAATGGCGCGCCTGGCTTGGCGGAAGCGGTCGGCGAGAACCGTACGGTACCGATCGATTTGACCGCTTGCAAGGAGAAGCGTTTCGTCGGGTTGACTGGAGTGTGGAGGACGATAGAGTCGCTCGAGGGGTTACGCGAGAGTGGGATTGTTGGCGAGGAACCTTGCTCGAGTCGAGTTGCGCGAAGCGGGTCGTCCTCGACCGCCACGCCCGTCTCCAAGCTGCCTTCGGCGCCATGTCCAGCAGTCGCGACAGTCGCATGGCTGAGCTGAAAGTCGGCAGTGCCGTTGACGACGTGAAGCGCTGCAGCCGCCTCGCGGTGATAGTGCGTTTCGCCGACGGCGACTGCGCGATTTACGGCACGAACCGACTCTTTGATAGGCGCAGCCCATGCAGGACCTGTACAGTTTCGATTCGATAGTCAGCCTCGATGTCGAGTGGAAGGCGAGAACTCCGACGCACTGCCGAGCTTGCCCTGTCCATCTCGTCCCCACCTCGTCAACAGCGCTTGGGCCTGATCAGCGTCTGACGCATGTACGAGGTGTCTACCAAGGGGTCCAGTCAGTGTCGATGGGGGCGAACGGGCGGAGAAGAGAGACGCACGCGAAGCTTTGTGGCGGGCCGACCATGTCGACCGTCAAGCGCTTCTTCTCTTTCTTCCTCCTTTCCTCCTTTCCTCCTCCTACTTGCGGCTGCGATGATCGAGCCGGCGTAGCGATATCGTTCGCGACGGTCATTCGCAGGTTTGACGGGCTGTAAAAGCGAGACCCTGTCGCAGCGAGGAGATCCCAGAAGCCCGAATGGACGAGGATCGACGATGTCTGTGCGACAGGCATCTGGGTGGGTCCTCGCGGCTCGTTATTGGCAGAGGATGGTGGAGCTGGAGGCGAGAATCGCGAAATTTGGCGGGATGCGATTGGCGGCTGGGGCAGAGGAGGGCGCTGTCGAGGGTTCTGCCCTGCAGGCATTCTTGAAGGTCCTCCCAGCTTGACGGTGCCGCTGCCGCCAACGAAGAAGGTTGAGCCGCGTAGGGGAGGCGAATAGGGGATCCAGGTGAGCTCGTCGAGACGGCCATCCGGCTGGTGATTCGCCGCCATTCCACGCCGCTCCTACCACGCGTTAGAACTACTGCTTTTGTCGAGCGACGAGACGAGGCGGACGTAGGAGTGCGATGAGAAGGAATCGGTCCTGAGCGGGCGTCGGTCAATGGCAGGGGGTGTCCGGCGGGGACGAGGCCTGTCGGCAGGCTCCAGTGCTCAGACAGCAAACAGAAAAGCAGTGAGGAAGCCGAGTGAGCGGTGAGAGCGAGGATGCGAGGGCGCAAGCAATCCGTCGCGCCGTCGTTCGAGGAGGGGTGCGAGCGCGTTGTGGGGAAGCCGGGCCTGCAGGAGCTCCGAATGACGCGCATCGCAGTCTGGATCGTACTCCTGTCGCTGCGTGCAGGAGTGCGGGTCGAGGCGGAGAGGAGGAAGGGCGACAGGAGGGTTGGCCGCCAGCGACCTTGACGTCTTGCGCGACGACGAGTGCTCGATGGAATGTGTAAGCATGCGTAGGATTCACAGCAGACAAGCGATGCGAAACAAGCGGTACTCCTCCTCAAGCGTCGACCTCCATCTCCCCCTTCGTCGCGTCTCCTTCGCCTTTCCCCTCGACATCCTGCTCGTACTCACTCACGTCCGTCTCGTCGATATCCGAGATTAGTCCTTCGTTCCTCAACCGCTCTGCCTCCTCCTCGGCGAGTTCGCGGGCGAGGTTGCGCCGAGTCGAGCAGTCGCAAACGTAGGAAAAGAAGCCGGGGTCTGCAGTGTGGACTGTATCGTCAGTGACTCTTCATCGTCGAGGAGGCGTGGATGACAGCAGAGGAAGAAAGGACGGACTCTGGTCGAGGTAGGACAGCGCGAGGTCGGAAGCGAGACGCTTCGCCGTCTTTGGGTTGCCCGACTCGATGGTCCCGAGAATGTTGTTGTGCGCAACGACCGACGTGCGGGTGAGGCGGCTGATCAGCTCGCCGGTCTTCTGGTCGAAGCGAGGTTCGAGGGTGGACGAGACGTGCGAGACTGGCGCGGGCGGGCGAGGCGCGAAGTCAGCACGGCGAATATGCGAAAGAAGGAACGGTCAGCCCACCGTCATCGCACTGAGCCGCCTGCGCCCTCTCGAGGAGAATGCGGATACAGTCGAGCTTGAGCGAGGTCGGCGAGATCCACTTCTGGAAGAACGGCGCGAGGCAGTGGTCGAAGATCTGTTGCGGCGCAGCAGGGTCGAAGCCGCTGTCGATGTAGACTGCGCCGAAGAGCGACTCGATGATGTCGGCGACGGCCTGCAGAGCCAGCGCAGCGGTCACTCCAGCGCCTCGGTCTGGAGCGTTCTCCTCTGATGAGGACGCACCTTTGGCGGGTCAAGCGTGAGCCAGTACGGGCGGAGCGAACGCTGCTCTTCCGCCGCCTCCTTGAACTCCTTCTCCCTCGCCTCGAGCAAGCGTTCCCTGTACAGCTTGATGTTGATCTCAAGCGTCGGATGATTGTAGATGAGGAAATTGTCGAGGTCGAGCTCAACGGCGAGAGCGGCGAGAGTGTCGTTGCTCACGCATCCGCCCTTGAGTTCAGTAAGCGTGCCGGGACCAAGCTCCTCGCCCCACCTCTTCCACGTCCACCTCACGACGCAGACGTCCAAGATCTGCGAGCGTCGATGTCAGTACGGAGGTGTGTGAGCTTTCGCAAAGCTAGTCACGCACGGCGTCGCCAAGCCACCTGCGAAGGAAACGTCAGTATCGAGTTGCGCAGATGGGAGACGGGTTCGGGCGACTCACTCGGTACGCTCGAACGAGACCATGTCGAGCCTCGACGGGTGCGTGAACGCCTCGGTCGCGAGGAAGGCGTGGCGGAACTTCCAGCCGATAGCCTTCTCAATGAGGGTCCTCTCGCCCTCGACCTCCCTCTCCTCGCCGATCGGCCCGTACAAGCGAGCGAAGTCGTTCCAGACCGTGACGGAGCCGATCTCGATGCCTGCGGGACGAACGGAGCCGTGAGCGATGACTTGCAGTACATGGACGGAGCTCGCACGCACCGATAGTCTTGATGGCCGCAAGAGCGAGGTCGTATGCCTTGTGAAGTTCACCCTCCTCGAAGCCAGTCTCGACGGCGGCACCGACGAGCGCCTCGACGGCGTCGGCGATCGTCTTGTCGCCGATGACAGCAATTGAGGGCGGAGGAGTGTTCTTGCTGTCGACGAGGCAGAGGTTCGGCGGGAGGAAGTGGCGACTCGTGAAGGGGCGCGATACGAGGTAGGAGGGAATGGCGAGCTTCTTGCCCGCCGCGCAGAGATACGCATTGTTGACGAGTGCGAGGCGGAGACGATGCATCACGCCCTCGTGCGTCGTGCGGTCCTGCGAGACGAAGACAAAGGTCGAGATGATATGCTTGAGGAGCTGCAAGGCATGGGAGAAATTCAGTCGCGGCGGGAGCAGGAGACTCGCGTGTGAGGACTCACAGCATCGCCGAGGAGCTCGAGGCGGTCACCGTCGATGCCGATTGAGGCCGACGGCGTCGTGAGCGCGGCCTTGACGAGCGGAAAGGCCAGCGCGTTGCCGAAGACCTTCTCGTTCAGCTCCGCGGTGAGGATGCTCTGCTCGAGGTCGGTAATGATGGAGGGGAGCATGAGAGCCGCTGCGAGCGCAACAACGTCAGCGACCATTCGCTTGACCGTATCAGGGCAGCGCACTTCTGAAGATGGACGCAGCGAGCGGATGCTTGTAGCAGGCCTGCGAGATGGCGAAGCGCGTCGCATGGGCGAGGAGCTTCTTTGCGGTCGGCGTGACGTCGTTCTTTGGCGTCTTGTTGAGGTGCGTGACGGTCTTGGGCATGCGGCTGATCTCGAGTAGAGGCTGATCCGGGTCCACGCGGACGGAGTGGAACTGCGGGAACGGAGCGATGTCAGCGCGCAAGCAGGAAGTGGAGTGCGCCGGGCTTACAAAAGGCTCATTGAAGGACGTGTAGCTGCGAGACGAGCGTCAGTCGTTGCGGCGCAGGTTAACGGAAGGAAGGAAACGCACTAGTCCATGAGGGTAGAGAAGCCGGCATCCGACTGGCGGCCTGGCGGCAGGGTCTCGTACGGGTGCAAGTCCTGACGAATGCGCTCGAAGAAGTACCTGAAGGTGGACGAAGTCGCTTGTCAGTCTCGACAGCTCATCGAGATCGGGTGAGCAGCCTCACCTGCATCCGTTCTTGGCCATGTCGATAACGACTGAGTCCTCGAGGCCGCTCAGGTTCTTGTGGTCGAGCTTCACCTCCTTGATCCTCCTCATGCCGTCCCAGTTGACGTCGTCCACCTTGATGCCGCTCGTCCCGATCTCGATACCGTCCTTGACCGCCGCAATGAGCCAGATGAGGTCAAGCGGCGTCCTTCCCTCCTCTCCCTCGACCATGCCGCGCGCAACACGCAGCGGCTTGTTGAGCACCGACTGCCAGAGCTGGACGTCCCAGTCGGTGATTAGACGACGCTGTTCGGTCGTCAGCGGGATGGCACCGACAGGCGTTGCGAAGATCTTGACTGGCTCGCCGGCGAGGTACATCGTGAGAGGGTCGACTGGCGGAAGTGGGTTGCGGGTGAGGAAGAGGACGGGGCGATAACGCTGTCCAGAGATCGTCGTCTCGCCGTTGCTGCTGCCGTAGTGCAAGAAGGTCGCGTAGAACGTCGTGACGTCGCCGCAAGGGCTGCGAGGGATTAAGGCATCGGGGACCTTCTTCTCGTACTCGCACTGGCGCTTCTTCGATCCGACGACCTCGCCGGTATCGGCGTCGACGACTTCTTCGTCCGGGAAGGTGCGCGGCGGGAGGAAGTGCTCGTCGAGGCAGCCAACGTTGCGAAGGACCTTGCACGTCGCAAAGGCCGCCGAGCGCTTCGCCGCAGCCTGCGTCTCGCAGAGCGGGCCCGTCACGACGCGGACCTTGGAAGCGCTCGGCAGGACGATCGTGCACGAGAACTGGCGAGCGCCAAACTCGTTCACACCGTAGTCATTGATTGTGTACTGCGGGCGAGTGACGGTGAACTCGTCGGACTTGGGAAGCGAATTGGAGTAGCGCTGGAGAAGGCTGAGGGAGAAGTGCGGAGTGAGGACGGCTCCAGTCGACGACTCGACGAGGTAGGTGCAGCGTTCGTCGGCAGCACCGTAGAAGTCCTCGTCCTCGTCCTCGATCTCGTCCTGAATGCGCTCGAAGAAGGTGAAGAGATCGCGGTCGAAGTGGGCGATCTGAAGGAGCTTCTTCTTCTCCTCGAGGTTGCCTGCAGGAGCGTAACCGTGAGCCAACGAGGGAGCTAAGATGCAGTGTGGAATAAGGCGAGGACGCACCCTTCTCAAGGAACAAGAGGTAGTGTGATCCAGGCGCCCTCGCACGTCCGCGGCTCTGGATGTAGGCGATGTGGCTCGTGTACAGGTCGAAGCGAGCGACAAAGTTGCACGGCTGGACGTCGAGGCCTTCTTCAACGACGCTCGTTGCGACGAGGAGGTTCGTCTCGCCTTCACCGAAACCGGTGAGGACGGCCGCCTGCTCGTGCCAGGCCATGCGAGGACCGAGAGCGTTGCCGGTGCCCGTGCCGTGACCGGTGACGCAGTCGACTTTGAGCCAGGCGAGGTCAGGCTCGAGCTTGGCGAACTCTTTGATGATCTGAGCGATGACGAGCGCATCAAGGCGGCGGTTCTGCGAGGTCACGACTGTCAACGCGACGAAGAGAAGCGAGAGTCTTCTCTTCTTGGACTTACGACGAAGATGATGCCGCAGAAGTCGTCGGCGCCAGGCCTGCACGCCTTGAGGAGGTCGAGGAGCTTCTGCAGCTTCGGCGAGAGGCGCTCGTAGTCGAGCGACGGCGTGTGCTCCTTGATGATCCTGCGAGAGCGGAGTATGAGATGGACCCGCAGCAGGTCCCGACCAGCAAGACTCGACGCACCTGAGCCAGTCCGGCAACTCGAGGTTGAGTTCCTCGAGCGCCTTCTCCCTCAGCTCGTTCCTGATGCGCTGCTTCTCCTCCTTCCTCGCGAGCCTCTTCTGTTCCGCCTTGGTGACCTTCCTCGCCTCCCTCCCGCTCTCAATCACCGCCCTTCCGTCCCACGCTCCTCCTTCTCCGTTGTCGAGCGAGGTCGAAGCCATCTTCGAGCCGAGCAACTCGCGCTCAACCTCCATCGCCGACTCGTCCGCGTCGTCCTCAACGTCCGAAGGCGGGAGGTGAGGCAAAAATTTGGCCTTGTAGCGCTGAAGCGCAAGATGCCAGACCAAGTCTGCCGCGTCGGGTCCCAAGTCGCGCAAGACGGACTCAGCGCCCTGGTAGTACTTCTTGAAGGTGTCGTCCTGGATGACGACTTTCGACATGACCTTGTCGAAGAGGTCGGTGCGGAAGTACGAAGGGGCGGGGTCGTAGTCAACGCGGAGGATGGTCGGGCGGGCGACCATCGCGCGGAGCTCGGCCTGTGTCTCGGGCGGCGCGCTGACAAGTCTGCAGGAAGCTTCAGGTCAGCGAATCGAGGTGAAAGGCGGAACGAGCGTAACACGGGAACGCACTTGGCGTCGAACAACGCCTCAAGCTTCTTCGCCTCTTCGACGCCCTCATTGCTGTCGAGCGGCGAGGCGGTCAAGCCGAGGATGCGAGGGCGCTGGTTGACGGGAGCGCGATGGTAGAAGTCGCGGAGGATGCTGGCGAAAGGGCTGCGAGACGCGGGCGCAAGGTCAACTCCGCTCTCGACAGTCGCAGAAACGATGAGAGACCGATGCGACTCACTGATTCGACTTTGCATGGTGCGCCTCATCAAACACCAACAACGCGATCTGCTCCATACGCAAGAAACCATGGGCGAGCGAGTCGAGGACGAGCTGGGCGGTGACAACGAGGCAGTCAAAGTTCTCGAAGTTGTAAGCCCATTCGGAGGGACTGCAGAGGTTGACGCCAAGAGCGCCGAAGAGCTTGCCGACGCGGAGGGAGGTGCTGCGAGGACGTCCATGCATTGTGAGTTCGCTGCGCTCGCGTACGGGAGAGAGGGTGCGGACGAGGCGGGAGGCCGACTCACTTGCATGCGAGCGTGTTAGCTTGCTGGTGCACGAGCGGGACGGAGTTTGTGAGGAAGAACTGCATGCGCTTCGGCTGGCCAGCTTTGATGCGCTCTTCCTCAACCGTCTTGTGCTGCCATTCGATAAGGAGGACCTGCGTAGCCTCGCATCGCTCGTCAGCGCGCCGTGTGGGACGAAGGAAGGCGGGAGGAGAACGCACAGCGACGAGCGTCTTGCCGGAGCCCGTTCCAAGGACGGTGATCAAGTTGCCCTTCTTGGCGCGCTCGAGCAACGCAGTCTGATAGCTCGTCGGAACGAGCTTGTCGACGTGCGCGCGGGCCGAGGGGAGGATATCCCTGTCAACCTTGACCTTCCCCTCCTCGTCCTCATCCTCCTTCTCAAGCGGGTCCATCCTCCCCTCCATCGCCCTCCCATTCTTCGGCCTCTTCTTCATCCACTCCTTCTCCCCACCCACATCCAAATCCTCCCAATCCTCACTCTCCTGATCCGACAAATAGTCAAACAGCTGCGGCGCACGACGGAGACGCGCTTTGCGCGCTTTGGTGAGGGGTTTGCGGCGCTTTGTGGCGAGGAGGAGGGCAGCGGACCGGAGGGCTGGGGTGGGAAGGGTGGTTGCGGAGGGGAGGGGGAGCGCTCGGGGGAGAGGGGCGATGGGAGCGGAGGCGGCGGCGGCGGATTTGGCGGCGAGTTTGACGTCCTCGGCTGGAGCGAGCTCGGCGGAAGCCGACGACGTGATGCTTTCGACGGCGGGGAGCGAGGAGGTCGCTGCGTGCTCCTCGTCCTCGGCGACATTCTCGACATCGACCGGCTGAACCTCCGCCTCGCGGTGCTGGACCAGCGAGCCTTGTGTAATGACATCGCGCTGAACCGTCGGCACGGCGCGCGGCTGAGCGGGCGTCGGCTTCGTCGGAGCCGGGAAAACGAACGGCTTGATGGGCGGGAAGAGCGGAGCGGTCGACGGCGTCGCGAAGAGGTCGAGAGTGGCGGGCTCATTCGCGGCTTGATGCGCGGGCATCAAAGGCGGAACGGATGGCTGAACGACGAGGTCGTCGTCCTCCTCGACCCACGCCTCGTCGTCCTTTGCGCCGCCGGCGAGTCCACCCGCCAAGCTCTCCTCGTCCGACTCGTTCCCTTTCTCGTCCTCGTCCTCCTCAGCCAGCATCAACCTCTTGAGCTCCTCCGCCGCCGTCTTCTGCCTCTTGGTCCTGCTGTCCTTCTCGTACTCGTCGAGGATCTCAGCAGGACGCTTCTGCAACACAGCGGCGATGCTGCGGTCCAACTCGCTTCCGCGCGAGCGAGTAAAGGCGAGTGACCCGTCGGACGTCTGCACGGGCCGGTAGTGGTCGGGGGTTGCTTGAGGGAGGGAAGCGGATTTGGACGAGGAAGGGCCGCCATTCTTGTTCCGGAATGACCTGGACTGGCTCGGGAGCGCCATCCGACCGCTACTCGGTCCCTTGACGCGCACCTTGACCCTCGGCTGCTTGTACGTGCCCGCTGCCGCCGCTGCACTCGCTCCACCAGGTCCGCTCCCCGCCGAGGGAGGGACGATGACCCTCCCGGTCCCTCCTCCCTCGACCGCCCCGACTTCGAGATCCGCATCCTTGTTGATCTGACGCCCTTTCTTGCCCTTGCGCTTCTTCTTCTTCGTGAGGAACGACGACGACGAGGTGACGAGTCTGCCTGCTTGTGCGGGTGAGGGGCGGGCAGCGGGCGCCTGCGGGGTCGGGGCGACGGGCATGCGAGGTTGTTGAGCGGTCAGCGGGCGGACTTCGGTCGTCGGTTCGCGCTGGTGAGCCGGTGGAGGAGGCGGACGAGGAGGGTTCGACGGCGAGTGGACGGGGAGAGGGTGTTTCTCGCCCATCCTTGACGTCGCAGCGTGTGCGAGCGGTGTGGTAGCCTAGCCTGTGTCGCAGCGGGTGCAGTCCAGCGTTGTCCGAGTCCTAGCGGGATGGGAGAGCGGGAGGAGAGCGCGAGAGAGGAGAGCCACAGTCCGCGGACTCGCACGATGACCTTCCTCATCTCCGCTCGACGACGCGGTGAGCAGCAACAACGACGCAGGCGGACTCGCAGACGACGACAGCATCCTCAGAAGTGATGGATCGAAGGTCAAGCCCCGCTGATTGGCTCTGGCGGCGCTCTCATCGCTTGCGAGAGGCGGTGCCCCTCCTCACGCACCTCGACACGCTCTCTCACGCTCACAACCCGCTTCCTTCCGCTTCCTGACTCGCTGATCATGGCCAAGTGCGTTTTGTTCGACGCTCGCTAACCCCGCTGAGCCCACTGACCCCTCTGCCTGGAGATTGCGGGCCCTCCTAGTGGACCTCTCCGGCACGCTGCACATCGGCTGCCAGCCCACCCGTTCCGCCGCAGAAGCAATCACACGCCTCAGAGAAGCAGGAATCTTGTTGCGCTTCGTGTCGAATACGTCGAAGGAGTCGCGTGAGTTGCGGAAGAGTGGTTCGCGAGGGGGAGGGTCTGTCGAACGGCTTGGGCTGATGTATCGGACGTGCAGGGAAGGACCTGTTGGAGAAGATGAGGAAGATGCACTTGGATGTGCGGGAGGAAGAGGTGAGCGGGGATCGTTTGAGCTGAAGAAGCGGGATCTCGCTGACGAGGAGGATCGTGACAGCTCTTCACGTCACTCTCTGCTGTTCGAGACCTCGTAGCGCAGCGGAACCTGCGGTGCGTCCCACTCTTGCTCTCTCAATACCCGCCACTGAGCCGCTCGCAAACAGCCCGCTCTACCTCCTCACCCCCTCCGCACAAACCGACTTTCCCCCCTCCGCAAAACCCTACAACGCCATCGTGATCGGCCTTTCTCCTCCCTCGTTCTGCTACGAGAAGCTCAACGAGACTTTTCGGTTACTGGTGGGCGAAGAGGAGGGAGTAAGGAAGGGAGAGGTTCAGTTGGTGGTCACGCATCGGGCGAGGTACTTTGGGGATACGGATGGGAAGCTGAGTCTGGGACCGGGTGAGCCGCACTTCTGCGCTCTGCAAGAGCAACGCTGACTGGAACCATTGAGGACAGGCCCGTTCATTTCGGCGCTCGAGGAGGCCGCAGGCTGCAAAGCGGAAGTCGGTGCGTACTCCTTCACCTCCTCTCTCTGACCGGAACGAACCGACTCCCTGCACGCAGTCGGCAAGCCCGAGCGCGCGTTCTTCCAGCTCGCGCTCGACTCGCTCTCCTCGCACAACTTGCAACCCTCCGAAATCGGCATGGTGCGTCCCGTTATCTCTCCCCTCTCGCTTCGCTAAGTTCTCCCGCTCAGGTCGGCGACGACAAAACACAAGACGTCGGTCCGGCCGTCTCCTCGCTCGGGTTGAGGCGTTACTTGGTAAGGACGGGCAAGTACAGAGAGGGGGACGAGGAGGGGATGGAGAGTCGGCCTGAGTGGGTTGGCGCGGACTTTGCGAGTGCGGTCGACGAGATCCTCGCCGAGTAGTCGTTTCTTATGATAATGGGGAATAGTAAGGACATGATTGGCGAGTTTGACTCCTCCGTTGCCGACGTTGCGTCCGTCGGCGCCGACTGGCTCGCTCGCTCTCCGCCACTTGTCGCGCTCTTCCTCTTCTTGCTTCTTACTCTCTAAGCTTTGGAGGCTACCAGTCAGAACAATGTCGCAGCCCAAGACCCTCTACGACAAGGTCCGTCTCCCTTTCGCATCCCGCTCCGCCCACATCTCCGTCCCTTCCTCGGCTGACACGCCTCGCTCGCTCGGGACACGCAGGTCTACGACAACCATGTTGTGCGGGAAGACGAGAACGGTTCGACGATCCTCTACATTGACAGGTGAGCCGGGCGTCAGAATCACTTGTCGGGTGCCGGGTCGGGCGACGGGAGTTGAAGGCGAGTGAGCGGACGGGCAGCGCCGGCGGGGCTTGGGAAAGATTTGCAGGGGCATCAGGAGGATACTGGGACGTCGCATACCCACCGCCGCACCCTCCTCGCCTCCCAGCAGCCAGCCGAACACGGCGGACTTAACACTCCGAACCTCCCGCTGACCCCCTCCCTTGCCTCTATGCGCACAGGCACATTGTCCACGAGGTCACGTCGCCTCAGGCTTTCGAGGGACTGAGCAAGGCGGGGCGGAAGGTCCGCAGGCTGGATGGGACGTTGGCGACTGTCGACCACAATGTGTGAGTCTGCGCGCGTCTGCTCTTCTCATTTGTTGAGTGGGTGGACTGATCGGTTGTTGCCGTGTAGCCCGACCTCGAGCCGGAAGAACTATACCGATTCGGCGAGCTTCATCAAGGAGTGCGTCTTCCCCTTGCCTCCTTCTTCCAGTCCGGGATCTCGTTGCTCATCCCCCGGCGCTTTGCAGGGCCGACTCGCGGATTCAGGTCCTCACGCTCGAGGAGAACGTCAAGAAGTTTGGCGTTCAGTTCTTTGGCATGACTGACAGGCGGCAAGGAATCGTTCACGTGCGTTCAGCCTGACTTCCTGCTTTCCAAGTCGCCGCTGACGCTCCTTCACCCGCAGGTCATCGGTCCTGAGCAAGGCTTCACCCTCCCCGGCACGACCATCGTCTGCGGCGACTCTCACACCTCGACCCACGGCGCTTTCGGCGCTCTCGCATTCGGCATCGGGACCTCCGAGGTCGAGCATGTCCTCGCGACGCAGACCATCCTGCAGAGCAAGTCGAAGAACATGCGCGTGCAGATCGACGGCGAGCTCGCGCCGGGCGTCAACTCGAAGGACGTGATGCTGCACGTAATTGGGACGATTGGCACGGCGGGCGGAAACGGCTCTGTCATCGAGTTCTGCGGCACGACCGTCGAGGCCATGTCGATGGAGGCGCGCATGTCGATGGCCAACATGTCGATCGAGGCGGGCGCGCGCGCGGGCATGTTTGCCCCCGACGAGATTACGTTCGCGTACCTCAAGGGCAAGCCGCTTGCGCCGCAGGGCGCCGAGTGGGACAAGGCGGTCGAGTTCTGGAAGTCGCTCAAGTCGGACGAGGGAGCGCACTACGACAAGGTTGTCAAGATCAACGCGGCCGACATCCCTCCTACCGTTACTTGGGGAACCTCGCCCGAGGACACCGTCTCGATCACGGGTACCGTTCCCGACCCCGCGCAGGCGCCGAACGAGGCTGTCAAGGCCAAGATCGAGCGTGCGCTCACGTACATGGGTCTCGAGCCGAACCAGAAGATCCAGGACATCAAGGTCACGAACGTCTTTATCGGTTCGTGCACCAACTCGCGCATCGAGGACTTGCGCTCTGCCGCGTCTATCGTCAAGGGCCGCAAGGTCGCCGAGGGCGTCTACGCGATGGTCGTCCCCGGCTCGGGTCTCGTCAAGCACCAGGCCGAGCAGGAGGGACTCGACCGCGTCTTCTCCGAGGCCGGCTTCGACTGGCGCGAGGCAGGCTGCTCGATGTGCCTCGGCATGAACCCGGACATGCTCTCGCCCGGCCAGCGCTGCGCGTCGACCTCGAACCGCAACTTTGAAGGCCGCCAGGGACCCGGCGGACGAACCCACCTCATGTCGCCCGCGATGGCCGCCGCAGCAGCTATCGCAGGCCACCTCGCCGACGCCCGCAAGTACCAGCCTGACGACCGGACTGGCGCCGCGCCCGTCCCCGCCGTCGAGATCGCGCCCGAGGAGCAGCAGGTCCCGACGACGCAGCAGACGCCCGACGCGGCGGACGACGGTGTCGCGCAGTCCCTCGGTGCGCCAGAGGTCACTGCCCCTGTCACGACTGCCGCTGCGGGCATGCCCAAGTTCGAGGTTGTCGAGGGTGCCGCTGCGCCGCTCGAGCGGGCAAACGTCGACACCGACTTGATCATCCCCGCGCGCTTCCTCAAAACGATCAAGCGTACCGGCTTGGGTGTCTCGCTCTTTGCTGCGCTCCGCTACAACGCCGACGGGTCCGAGAATCCCGACTTCGTCCTCAACAAGCCTGCGTACCGCGACAGCAAGATCCTCGTCGTCTCGGGCGGCAACTTTGGGTGCGGCTCGTCGCGAGAACACGCGCCGTGGGCCCTCCTTGACTTTGGCATCCGGGCCGTCATCGCCTCGTCGTTCGCCGACATCTTCAACAACAACATGTACAAGAACGGCTCGCTCCCCGTCGTCCTCCCCGAGGAGCAGATCGCCACGCTCATTGAGGACGCCAAGGCGGGCAAGCTTCTCGCCGTCGACTTGCCGAAGCAGGTCGTCCGCCGCCAGAACGGCGACGAGTACCCTTTCGAGGTCGACCAGTTCCGGAAACACTGCCTCGTCAACGGCCTCGACGAGATCTCGCTCACGCTCCAGCACGAAGACTCGATCTCGCAGTACGAGAAGAAGCGCAGCGAGCTCTGGCCGTGGCTCGACGGCAAAACGTACAGGGCCGGCAAGATTGGCGTCGCGGGCGGCGCGAAGACGTCGACCGACTGGTGATCGCCCACGTCTTCGCTCTCTACGTCTCGGTACATAGCGCTGTTTGAAAAGCCCGCAGAGGGCCGTCGTGGAATATGCATTGCCGTTCGCAACTTGCGGCGAAGGGAGTTACTTCGCGAGTTGCTCGTGTCGCTTTCGCTTCTCTTGCTTCCTGCGACGAGCTGGGCTGCACTCTGCATCAATCTTCAAGCCCGTCGACTGCTTCGCAGAACTTTCAAGCGGCGAACCCGAACGTCGCCTCGTCCCTTGCGCTTCTTCATCCTCCGCAGTCTCACATCCGCTGCTGCAACCTCTTAATCAGACGCAGCGCAACTCTCTTGCTCCCGCTGCACGCTCAGCCACCGTCACCAGCCCCGCTCACACCCCGTCCCTCATCCACCTCCTCATCGCTCAACCTCCCCACAAACCGACGACACACCTCCCGACAATCGCGCCATGCCCGCCTCCTTGCGCTCCTTCAGGGGCTCGAACCGACCACCGAACAGCTACAGGGACCCGCAGCTGTCGCCTACGCTGTCGACGACGACTGTTGCATCCCGACTCGACTTGGGCGAGGATGGGCCGAAGACGATTGTGACGAGGGCAGACGTGCGTCAGCAGCTGGTGGGCATTTGTCAGGATCACGCTAACGAGGATCTCCGTCTTCGTAGCTCCGCGAGTCAGTCGCAGCGTACGAAGGCCTCCTGAGTTCCGCGAAAGCCTATCGAAACGCCCTCATCGCCATGTCAGCCGCCTCGACGAACCTTGCAGGAGCACTGGGAGAGTGTGCGAGGGTCAAGGGCGCGGCGGATAGCGGAGAGGGGTTGATGGCTGCGAGCGGACTGCACTACATGGTCGCCAACTCGGGTCAGGTCTTGGTGCGTTGCACTTCTCCTCCTTCTCACGCCACCAGGAGCTGACTCTGATGCCTCAGAGCGACACACTGTACCGATCAGTCGAGCTGCCCCTCCTCACGGCCTACGATTCCTACGTCGCCGACATTGCGGCTCGACACGCCGAGTACGAGGACTTGCTCAAGGAGAAGACGGCCAAGATCAGGGAGACTGAGGCGGAGAACATGCGGCAAGGGAGGAAGAAGGTGCGTCGCGTCGAGACTACGCTCGGAGACTGCTCGTGAGCTGACTTTGCGCGACCTGCAGACACGAGATCTCGACCAGTTCCGACGGGCGCTCGCAAAGCTGACGGAGCAGGTGGCTGAGGTCGAGGTGTGCAAGCGGAGTTACTACTCGGAGGTGCTGCAGAACGAGACAGAGATGTGGGGCATGATCAGTAACAAGGTGAGCTTGCGGTCCGCCTTTCTCTCCTTCCTTCCTGCTCACTCTCGTCTCGTCAGGTCTCCCTCCTCGTCCGCTCGACCCTCGACCTCTCCGACCGCCTCGCCTCGAAAGCGACGTCCGACCCCGTCATCGAGTCGATGCTGAACGAACACCCAGACCCCTTCGATTCCTTCCGCCTCGACCGCGACGAATCCCGCGACGTCTTCACTATCCTCCCACCGATGAACCTCGGTGCAGGTCCTTCAGCGGCCTCGTCGGTGTCCGGCAAGAAAGTCTTGTCGGACGGGGCTTCGACTCGTTCGCTGGATGGGGACGAGACGGCGCGCCCGATGACGCCGAAGCAGTTTGCAAAGACTCCGATGTCGGTGTCGCAGGTGTTGGGACTCGACCAGCTGGACGAGGACGAGCACCACCGCACGCCTCGAGCGAAAGGCTCGGAACGACCGGCGCCGGATAACGACCTCGACGACCGCTCCTCAGGTCGTGCGGCGTCCTCCAGTCCTCTTCACAGCCGCAAGCCGTCAATGGAGCAGCCCGACTCGGCCCTCCCGTCCACCTCCTCCTCGACGCCCTCGCCCGCCCTCCTGCCAACCGATTCTCCCGCCCTGCACGACTCAGTCGACTCACTCGCTTCCGCCTCGTCGAAACTCTTCGATCCACCTTCCCTCACCACCGAAGCAGCGCCCTTCTCGACCCTCTCATCATCCTCACGGGCAGACAAGTCCAGTCCGCGCAAAAACGGTCGCCGGGGCCTGTCCCGCGTCAGCGAGGCGCATGATCCTCCGGCGGACCCGATGGCGGGCGACTGGGGCGCGCCGGTGTATGGACGATCTTTGTCGCCTGGGATGAACGGCGGGAGCGGGTACGAGAGCGGGGAGGTGCGTTCTGCGCTCGTCTTTCCTCCATCTTCCGGGCGCTGCGCTGACTCTGTGAGTCTTCGTCGTGGTCTGTAGGAGGACGCCGCTGCGTGGACGGGCTGAGCCGTTGTCGGACTCGGAGGAAGTGGATCGTTTTCGTGTTTCTCTCGGCGGTGTCGCCTGTTTCCTGTTGTTTGCGCCTCGTCGCCCCTTCTTCCCTGTTGCTCCCCTGTTTCTACACTATCCTGCAACACCTTCTGGCAGCCCACACAGACACCCTCGCGAGTATTGCCCCTGTGCGAAATCGACGTGTCCTCGGCAGAAAGGGGTCCTCTCGTCCTCCTCGCCTCCTCCTGCACCCGCTGCTCCCTCGCTAACCATGGCTGCGTCTGTCGAGTGGTCGCGAATCACCAACAAGCTCGGTCTCGGCAAGCGTGCGTCCACTCCAGCCGCGCGCCGTCGTCGTCGCGCTGACAACCCGCTCTCGCTCTCCCATCGCACAGAGACGCTCGCCGACCTCAGCGCGTTCCGCAACCGCGCTGCCGCCGCCCGTGCCGCCAACGCCGCCGTCAAGGAGCAGAAGACCAACGTCGACTTTGAGCACTACCGCTCCGTCCTCAAGAACAAGGACATTGTCGCCGAGGGCGAGAAGCTCTTCAAGAGCTTCAAGGCCGTCGACTACGACCTCCAGGCCCAGCTCAAGGCCATCGCTGCCTTCGAGGCCAAGGCTGTGAGTCGACCAGACTGGCGCGCGGCGGGCGAGGAGCTGTGGGCGACGAGAGCGGGAGGTTGGGCGGTGCGGGTGGTGTCGCGGGGTGCTGGCGGGGAAAGGTGAGGGACGTTCGAGAGCAGGAGACTGACGCAGACGTTCCTCTCGCAGGTCGCTTCCGCCAAGGAGGCCGCGACCAAGGTCCAGTCCGACCTCTCGAACCTCAACTCGACCCTCAAGAACATCGAGGAGGCCCGTCCCTTTGACCAGCTCACTGTGCGTTCCCTGCGCCGCCTTCTCGCTCTTCGCATCTTGTTGACACGCTCCCACTGCGCAGATTGACGACGTTACCAAGGCGCGCCCCGAGATCACCGAGACGGTCGAGAAGATGGTGTCGAAGGGCAAGTGGACCGTCCCGGGCTACACCGAGAGTGCGTCGCGTTCCCCTTCTCGCTTGTGTGCTGTGGAACCGCTCACTGACTCGTCCGCGCACCCGCAGAGTTCGGCGTACGTTCCGTCTCTTCCACCGCGACTTGCGGTCCTTTCTCGTCCCGCCAGCTTTCCTATACTGACCTCTTTGCTCTCCCACGCGCCCTCTCTTGCGTCTTGTACATCAACAGAACCTCAGTGCGTCCAGCTCCGACTCTCTTGCTCACCGTTCATCCCGACTGACTTCGCCTCTCTCCCGCAGGTGCCATCTAAACGCCTCGAGCCCGGTAGAATGTCTCCTTCTAACTTGTTCTGCAAAAGCTGTCGTGCATCCGGAATTTTGTGGTCGCCGGAATTTTGTGGTCGCTGCACGCGAGTTTGTATGCTGCCGTTGCGTCGATTCTTCACGTCTTCGTTTCCGTCTCTTCCGGTGAGTCGTGACGTCTCTCTGTCTAGCTGGATCCCGATACTGACGCCCCATGTCCGCTTCAACAGCTTGCTGGCTACCGTTTCCTCTGCTGCGCACGGCAACTCTCAGGACTCGACACCGTCCTGACGAAACTCTGCGCCTCGCGCAGCTCCGTCGCTTGACCTGCGCTTCATCGCCTCCTCTTCTTCACGACACTTGCAAGGGCTTTACGTCCTCCGCAGCTCTATAGACTGCTTCTCTCGCTGAGAGCTGGATGGTGGAGGATTATCCTCAGAAGGAGATGGGTCGATCTGGTCACTTGGCGGCTGTTTCCGCTCTTACTGTAGCCGATGTGGGAGGCAGGGAGGAGTACCGCTGGCTCAAGGCTGGCTATCCGGTACCTGCTGCTCGTCGTAGAAGTGGGCAAGGTACAGCAAGAAGAAGGGAGTTCGCCTTCTTTTCGTGGAACCGCTCGAGCGCATCTTTTGCAGGCAGTTTCCGTTCTCGAGCGTTCATGGACCTTGCGATTTTGCGTACGGACTGGCGCGGCCGCTGGGTCGTCAGCGCACGGCACGACGGAGTGAACGGCAGTCGGCGAAGGAACACTTTCTGCGACGAGCGAGACGCGGCCCGTGTGCTTCCGCCTTTACGTAAAATGGCGTTTCGGCCAGCCAACCAGAGCTGGCGACCCCGGATCGTCGAAACCGTCCGAGGCATGCCCGAACTTCGGGCGGCGGCAGCGTGATCGGTCGCAGAGGGCAAGTGAGCGATGCCCATCTCTTGCGCTTACAGCACCTCGCTCTTCCCGCCTGCGCTCTCCTGCTGTCCTGCTGCTCGTCTTGCACTCGTGTTCGACGCCGCTGTCACCACCGACAACCCAGCTCGAATACCAGCACCCTTGCGCATCATGACGGAGGCTGCCAAGCCAAAGTCGACCTCGTCGTCCTCCAGCGGCACCCTTCCCGGCTCGGAGCCTGCGCCCATCGTTGGAGACAAGTCTTCATTTGCGCAGACCCATCCGAACCTTCAGCGGACGATCTCGCGCGACGTGCCCGTCAACTACTTCTCCCCCGATGGCGACCTTCAGCGCACGCTGTCCCGCCAGCAGTCGGGCTGGTCGACGCACACGCAGGACCCGAACGCCGACGACTTTGACTACGAGAAGCATGTGCGCCATTTGCTGAGGCGCGCCGAGGAGAGCGGGATCAAGCAGAGGGACTTGGGCGGTTCGTCCCTGCTTTGCCTGTTCTTTCGCTCCCACGTCGAATCGGCTGACTTGGGCGTCTCGCAGTCACATTCAAGGACCTTACTGTCACCGGCGAAGGCAGTGGCATATTGTACGGCGCCTCGCTGACGGGTCTCGTTCGCGCCATCCCGGCTCTTCCCAAAACCATCGCCGCCATGCGTCACCCCAAGGTCAAGACGATCCTCGACGGGTTTACGGGGACGCTGCGGCCTGGCGAGATGACCCTCGTCCTCGGTCGCCCCGGATCGGGCTGCACGAGTTTCCTCAAGACCATCGCCAACTACACCGAGTCCTTCCGTGGCGTTGAGGGGACGATCTCGTACGATGGCGCGACCCCGCAGGAGATGAGGAAACACCACGCTGGTGACCTCGCCTACCTGCCAGAGGTGCGCCTGGTTCCTTGAGAAGGCTTTACCCTTCGAGCGCTTTAGTCGACGGACTAGTCAACGCCTATTGACGCCTCGCGACTTGCAGGACGACCACCACCTCCCTCACCTCACAGTTGGCGAGACCCTCTCGTTCGCCGCCGCCGCCCGCACGCCCGCCGCTCCCGCTCGCCTCGGCTCTCGCAACGAGACGATCGAGCGCAAGCGCGACGTCCTCCTCACCCTCTTCGGACTCAAGCACACCTACAACACCAAAGTGGGCAACGATGTCGTCCGCGGCGTCTCGGGAGGCGAGCGCAAGCGCGTCTCGATCGCGGAGCTGCTCACGACGGGCTGCAAGCTCGGCTGCCACGACAACTCGTCGCGCGGTCTTGATGCCAGTTCGGCACTCGAGTACGTCTCGGCGCTCAAGGTTGCGACCAAGATCGGCCGCTTGACGTCGGTCCTCTCGCTCTATCAGGCGGGCGAGCAGCTGTCAGTTCCGCCGCTCTCCTTACCCTCGTCCGCTACGTTCGCTGACGCTTGTGCTATCACTAGCTACACGCTCTTCGACCGCGTCGCCGTGCTCTATGAGGGCCAGCTCATCTACTTCGGCCCCGCTCACATGGCCGTCGGCTACTTCAAGGAGATGGGCTACGAGCCGCAGCCCCGTCAGACCTCGGCCGACTTCCTCGTCGCCGTCACGGACGTCAAAGGTCGATTCCCTCGCGAAGGTTACGAGTCGAAGGTTCCGAAGACGCCTCTCGAGTTCGTCGACTACTGGAAGAAGAGCAGCCTTTACAAGCAGCTCGTCGAGGAGGTCGACGCCCAGTTTGCGGTGACCGAGTCAGAGGAGGGTCGACGGCACCTCGAGTCGTACCGCCAGAGTGCCGCCGCCGAGCGTGTCAAGCGCCAGAGCAAGAAGTCGCCCTACCTCATCTCGTACCCGTGCGTACGCTTCCTACGCAGCGGAGGGTTCGCGGCAAGAGATGAGGACGGGAGACGGAAACGCTGACCTTCGCCTTCTCGCGCAGTATGATGCTCCGCCTCGCCATGAAACGTCGCTACCGCATGCAGATGAATGATCTGCCGACACTCGCCATCGTCTCCATCGCCGCCCTCTTCCAAGCGTGAGTCTTCCGCTACCTCAGGTTCTGGCGGGAAGGGTCGGGTTCTACGTCGATAGGGCAGGCCTGTGGCCTCGCCACTGGTGCAATATAGCTACTTACATCCTGCTAGTATCGCCGAAGACCTCATACTGACGCCCAGCCTTCTCCACTCGCAGACTCATCATCGGCAGCGTCTACTTCCAGATGCCAAAGGATACGAGCGGTTTCTTCTCGAGAGGAGGCGTGACCTTCTTCTCCATACTGTACGTTGCACTTCTTCCGCTGCGTTCCGAGGCGATTCGGGGGCGTTTGGCGGCGTTTCGAAGCGTTTCCGCAGGTCCAGAGGCGATTCATGCTGACCTCGCCCCCCTACAGCTACAACACGTTCACCGGGGTACGTCGCGTGGCTTTTACGATGCTCTGTGACGCCTGAGGCGTGCGGAAGAGGCAGCTCTCGCGTGCTGACGTCGCCCCTTCCTTTCCTTCCTTCCTTCCCTCCTGCTCAACAGATGGCCGAGATCACCTCATCGTACTCGCAACGTCCCGTTGTTGTCCGGCAGCGCAACTTTGCCCAACTGCGCCCGAGCGCCGACGCTTTCGCTCAGACGCTCGTGGACGTACCGTTCAAGTTCGTCACCGTCGTTGTCTTCGACATCGTCCTGTACTTCGTGAGTGGTTCGCCTGGGCCCTTTGCTGCTCGTCGACGTCGAATGGCCTCCCTTTCCTTCATCCATCTGCTGCTCGTCGACGTTGACTGACGTCCCCTCCCTCCAGATGGCCGGCCTCGGCTACAGCGCCGACCAATTCTTCATCTTCCTCCTTTTCACGTTCCTCACCACCATGGCCATGCTCATCTTTTTCCGGTGAGTTGCAGGGTCGTCTCTGAGAGGGACTTTGCTGACACCGTCGCCCCTCTTCAGCATGCTCGCCTCGATCAACCGCGCCGAGCCGAACGCAACGTTGATGGCCGGTCTTGCGGTGCTCGTCATTGCGATCTACGTCGGTTGTGCGTCGCGTTCTGTCTACCTCGAGCGTCTCGAGTCAGCAGCTGCTGACTTTCTCGCCTTCCCAGATGCTATCCCCCGCCCTTCGATGCGAGTCTGGTTCCGCTGGCTCAGCTACGCCCAACCCGTCTCGTTCGGCTTTGAAGTCCTTCTCACAAACGAGTTCCGCAAGCTCAACGTCCCTTGCGCGACCCTCGTCCCGGCCGGACCTTCGTACCCGGCAATCGCCGTGGCCAACCAGGCATGCGCCGGCACCCAAGGCTCGACACCAGGTAGCGCCATCGTCATCGGCTCGCAATACATGGAGCAGAACTTCGGCTACAAGTGGTCTCACACATGGCGCAACTTTGGCTTCGTGAGTCTTTCGAGTCCTTCAGATCTTCCGTTCTCTCCAGTCCTGTCATTTCTCGTGTCTTTGGCTGATCTCCCGCACTGGGCAGATCTGGGCTTACCTGCTCTTCTTCCTCGCCGTCAACCTGATCTCGTACGAGTACCAACGTGACGAGTCGGCGGGAGGCGGCATCCTCCTCTTCCGCCGCGGCAAGGCGCCCAAGGAGCTCGTTGCGGCTATTGAGGATCCGGCACGCAAGGGCGACGAGGAGCAGGCGAACCCGAGCGTCGACGCCACGGTCAACGAGGCTGAGAAGGAGAAGGCGGCGGGCACGCTCGAGCGTGCGACCGACGTCTTCACCTGGCGCAAGGTGTGCTACGACGTCAACGTCAAGGGCGGCCAGCGTCGTCTCCTCCGTGACGTCGCGGGTTACGTCGCGCCCGGCAAGATGACGGCTCTCATGGGCGAATCCGGCGCCGGCAAGACGACGCTCCTCAACGTCCTCGCCCAGCGTGTGAGCACCGGTGTCGTCACAGGCGACATGCTCGTCAATGGACGGCCCCTACCCGTCTCCTTCCAACGTCAGACGGGATACGCCATGCAGCAGGACGTCCACGACCCGACAACGACCGTTCGCGAGGCGCTTCAGTTCTCCGCGCTCCTTCGCCAGCCGCGCACCGTCTCCAAGGCTGAGAAGTTCGCCTACGTCGAAGAGATCATCAAGCTGCTCGAGATGGAGCCGTACGCCGAGGCGCTCGTCGGCGAAGTCGGCATGGGCTTGAACGTCGAGCAGCGCAAGCGCCTCACCATCGGTGTCGAGCTCGCCGCCAAGCCGGCGCTGCTCATCTTCCTAGACGAGCCGACGTCGGGACTCGACGCCAACGCCTCGTGGTCGATCATCCTCCTCCTTCGCAAACTCGCCGAGCATGGCCAGGCCATCCTCGCGACGATCCACCAGCCTTCGTCCGAGCTCTTCCAAGCCTTCGACCGCCTCCTGCTGCTCAAGAAGGGCGGACAGACCGTCTACTTCGGCGACATCGGCAAGAACTCGGAGACGCTCCTCGAGTATTTCCACGCTCGCGCCGACAAGCGGTGCAAGCCCGAGGACAACCCTGCCGAGTACATCCTCGACGTCATTGGCGCCGGTGCGGCAGCCAAGGTCTCGCAGGACTGGGGGCAGCTCTGGCTCGACTCGGACTTGGCGAAGAAGGTCGACCGGGAGATCGACGAGCTCCACCGCTCGAAGGAGGGCGAGGCTTCCCAGGCAGACGAGTCGCCTGACGCTGGCCGCGACTTTGCTGCGCCCGTCGGCGTCCAGTTCGCGACGGTCCTGCGCCGCAACTTCGCCAACTACAATCGGGACAGCGTCTACGTGATGAGCAAGGTCGGCCTGAACGTTATTGCGGGCCTCTTCATCGGTTTCTCATTCTACCGGTCGCCGCACGACCAGTCGGGCTTGCAGAACTTCCTCTTCGGTGCGTCTCGTACCGCTTCCCACAAGTAGTTCGGTCCACTAACGCTTAGGAGTACGTATTCAGCCGTATTCATGGCCATAGTACTCTCCGCCCCGCTCTCCCAGCAGCTCCAGCCGAAGTTCCTTGCCCTCACGCAGCTGTACGAGGCTCGCGAGCGGGCGTCGAAGATGTACAGCTGGCCCGTCTTCGTCATCACGGCCATCTTGGTCGAGATTCCGTTCAACATCGTCGCGTGCGTTGCGATCCCCTTATCCCCTTTCCGTCGCGATCCCCTTCCTGTCGTGATCCCCTAAATGTGACGATCTCACGACTTCTGACTGACGAGTTCCTCCACAGCGGAACCATCTTCTTCTTGTGCTGGTAGTAAGTATCGCCTACGGAGAATATAAGTACGCTTACGACGAGCGCTGACGAGCAAATCCTCCTCGCAGCTGGACCGTCGGATTCCCCTCCGCCACGAACAGGGCCGGCTACGCCTACCTCCTCTTTGTCATCTTCGAGACATACTTCCCTACGTTCGCCATTGCCGTGGCGTCCTTCTCCCCGACGCCCATGGCCGCCTCGGTCCTCTTCTCGTGAGCTTGCGCTCTGTCGGTCCGAGGCGTCCTTGAGAGTTCTTGACTGACCGTCGTCCCTTCATGCAGTTCTCTCTTCAGTTTCGTCATCATCTTCAATGGGTGAGTCGCATTCTGCATCCTGGCGCTACGGCGAGTGCTGGAGCGTGCCAGCATGCCAGCGTGCTAAAGACTTCCCGACTTCCTGACGCCTCTTCCCGCTACAGAGTCGTCCAACCGCCCTCCCAGCTGCCGTCCTTCTGGAACTTCATGTACCACACGACGGTGCGTCCGCTTTGATGCAATCAGCACATCGAACGGAGCTGACCTGCTTCCCCTTCACAGCCCTTCACCTACCTCGGTGCGTTTCAACCCCTCCTTCCCGTCTGCCTCCACGGCATGACGGCATCGCAGTAGACTCAGCTGCAGCTCGTGCCGCAAACGGAACGCTGACTCTCGCGTTCTCCCCTCCATCCCCTTCTCGTCCTTTTCACGCTCTCGCCCATCAACTCGCTACCACTCTCACTCTCTCGTCATACGCAGTCGAAGGCCTTCTTACCAACGCCATTGGCGGCGCGGCCCTCCACTGCACGCAGCAGCAGTTCCAGCGCATTGTCCCTCCCGCGGGCCAGCAATGCGTCGAGTGGCTTCAGCCGTACATGTCGATGGCGGGCGGGTACGCCCAGGTGCTGCAGGACGGGTCGTGTGGTATCTGCGCGTACAGCTCGGGCGACCAGTATCTCCGCCAGCTCAACATGAGCTACTCGCACCGCTGGCGCGACGTCGGCCTCCTCTTCCCCTACATCGGCTTCAACATCTTTGCCACCTTTGTCGGCTTCTACCTCTTCCGCATCTTTGACTGGTCGTCGTGCGTCCTTTCCCTTCGTTCACTCATGGTGGCGAGATGAGAAGGTCGTGAACTGACGGTCGCTTTGTTCCCTTCTTCCCTGCTACTTCCTCGTCTCCGCCTCGCCTACGTCTCGCTCGTCTCGTCCTCGTTCAGGCTCTCGTTTCGCGGCAAGAAGAGCGCGGCCTCGCCCGGTCAGCCGTCGCGCGAGTCGGCTCCCCAGAACGAGCAGGAGAAGGCGGCGACTTACGCCGCCACAGCGGCGGCTGATGGCTTGGCTGCGGACGGAGTAAGCCACACTCGCGCGGCGTAATAATTGGGGACGCTAGAACGCACAACGAACTTCAATAGAGTGCCTTTCTTTTTCCCTTCGTTCGCTCTTCCTCCACGATCCTTTCGTCATGCGATTACTCTCCGCAATGTACGACTCCTCTGCCGTATACTAGACGTCAGCACTCGACGAGAACAGCTCATTTGTGCGCTGGCCTTCAGCGTTCGCTTCGTTGGCCGACAGCTAGTTCGTCGGGATTGTCCTCCTCTCGCGCCACACTCGCTCCTTGACTTTCCTCCACTCGCAACGTGCAGTCCCGCCCGAAACAAGAGCCGCGCGCACACCGAACGGGTGAACTCATGCTGTTCTCCACGATCCGAGGCGTGCAACCCTTGCACTGCGCTTCGCTCGTCGTCGTTGTGCTTGCTCGCTGCATTGTCAGTGTCCTGAAGACCGTCTGAAGCAGATCCGCTCTGCCTCGCTTGTCCTGCATGTCGACATCGAATCCGTCGCTCAACTCGACTCGTTCGTCGGATCCTCATCCCAACACGACCGCATCGTCCTCCGGGAGGAGCTCGAAGCGCCAGGAGCAGTCTACAGGACAAGGTGAGTCTATCGCACGCTTGATCCGCCTGTTCCAGCGGGCGCCACTGCGACCCGCGCGCACATTGACGAGCTTCGCCTCTTTCCTTTCGTCACCCATCGCTGGACATGCGCTGACCCTCGCTGTGGCCTTCAACTCGACCGTGACCGCCTCGACACGCCGCCTTCCCTGATCCCGCCCCTCTTGCCGCCGCCTGCGCCCGCGCCTCCCGAGTTGACCTTGCAGGTGCGCTCAACGGCGGATCGCCCTCGCTCGCAGCGCAGACGGCCGCCAGATGAGCTGACACGGTACATTCCCGCACGCAGAATCCGATCCAGCCTCGAGCGAAGCCAGCCCGTCGACGGCCCCTCCCAGCCCAGCTCCCGAGTCGGGGTCGCTCTCGCCCACGCCCAGCTCGTCGCAAGCAGCTTCTTCCACCCTGGCGCCTCCGTCACGCTCGACAGAGCGCACCAGGGGACCGCCGAGCTCTACGACGACCGCCATGAGCGCGAGCTCGAGTGACGCGACAACGTCCCGGAGCACCGCTCCAGGTGGGGGAGCAACATCTCCAATTGACAGTTCTTCGACCGCCATGTCGTCCACAACGACGCCAGCGAGCACGGCGACAACAAACGGTGCGCCGCCTTCCCCCTCGAAGCGTCTCTCCGCCCGCGAAGGCTGACCTCACTCGCATCGTCCCGATCGCTTCCCGCAGCTTCTTCATCTTCTTCGCCCGCTTCCTCGCCTTCTCCCCCGTCCAGCGCCTCCCCGACAAGCACACCGTCGCCTAGTAGTAGTACGACCACTCCCAGCGCGTCCCCAAGCTCCACACAGTCGTCTTCCTCCCTCTCGTCCTCGTCATCCCTCGTCGCAGCTCCTTCCTCAACGAGCACGACAAGCTCCCGGACGATCACCTCCTCGTCTCGCACCACGACGACACGCGTCCCCTCGTCAGTCGTCCCGTCTTCTGCCTCCTCAACCTCCTCCGCCGTCTCCAGCCCGTCGACCACGGTCGCACTCTCTTCGTCTTCCCCTTTCAGCTCGAGCTCGCTCGTCGAATCGAGCTCGACCACACTCACGACAGCGTCTTCCGTGGGCGACCCCTCGAGTGTATCCATGTGCGTTTGCCGCGCCCTTTGGAGCGAGAGACCAGAGCGCTGATCCTTCTTCCCCTCGCAGAACCTCGCCACCCGTCTCGACCCATGTCGCCACGTCCGAGTACACCCTCACCTCGTCCGGCTCCGTCATCGTCGTGACGTCCATCGTCACAGCTCTCGTGACTGGCGCCGACCCTGCCGCGCCCGGATCGACCGGCGCCCGCACTCTGAACGGCGCGAACGGCGGCAGCAGCTCGTTCTTCAACAACACCGGCGCAGTCGCAGGCGTCTTTGTCGTTGTTGGCTTGCTTGCAGCCGGGATCGTGATCGGTCTCGGGTTCTTCTTCGTTCGCCGGACGAAGCGGCGCCAGCTCGACGAGGACATCCGCGTGGCGGCAGGCGGGGCGGGCGACGGTGGGGCGGGTATCAACCGCTTTGACGACGACGAAGAGTCAATCGACGGCTATGCAGGCCAGAGCGACAGCCACCAGTCGGGCTACATGTCGTCTCTCGGCGCCGTCCCGCTCACGGCCGCCGCCGCAGGCTTCGGCACCCGCCGCTCGAGTGGCTACGACCTCCCGACGACGAGCAGCATCGCTGGACTTGCGACGACGACCGACCGCACCTCGTCCTTCGAGCCGGGCAACTCGCCTGCGCAAAGCCAATCGACGCAATTCCAACCTTACGGCGCCGGCGCGGCAGGTTATGCCGCGCAGAACAACGAGGGAATCTTTGCGGATGACTGGGCGGAGTATGTCAATGCGGGAGGCGTGGCGGGGCTTGCGACGTCAGGCGAGGGGAGTGCCGGTGGACCGAGCAGCCAGGAGGGCATGAGTGCGTGCTGGCTCTCCCTTGTCCTTTCACTATCAGATGTTGACGAGCTCCTCCCACAGTGGGCTCGGGCTTCTCGCACTCAGCCGACGGACACTCCCAGCAACCCGGAAACCGCTTCTCAGGCGCCTCCTTCTACTCCGCGGGCCATGCCAACCCTGACGGCACGCAAGACATGACCGCGTTGCGCAACTCGCTCTACGGCATGTCGAGCGAAGGACCGTACGCCGGCATCGCGCCCGACAGGCGAGACGACCGCCTCGACCCGAATGCGATCAGGGCTGTTGATAACGGCAGCGCGACGAGTCTTGCGGACGACCAGGACTTTTCGCGCAGGGTCTTGCGGTGAGTTGAGCGTCCCCTCGCGGCGCGAAGGACGCGCTGACCCGGCTTGACCTCCGACAGCGTCGCAAACCCTTCCGACGACTGAACACCTCGCCCGCTTCCCTCTTCCTTCAGCATACTCTCTTCTGCACATCGACACTATGACCTGCACAAACACTTGACGACCTCTTCACGCTCCGCCTCGACGGACTTTACGACCCTTCCACCAGTTTTCGCTTTTTACCCTCCATTTCCTTGATTGTCCGAACACGCACACCCACACACCCACTGTAGCCTTTAGCGCATCCACACTCTCTCGTTTCCTCTCCCTTCGGCTCTCGGATCTCGGATCTTCAGCATAGACACAGGCTCTCTCGGATGAACGGAGGCGACTCCGGCTGAAAATGCACACTGGCTCTGCACATCTTCTCTAACGAGCGGCGAGGCGAGTCTACCCTGCGACTTCGTCGACGCGAGAGACGTTGAGCGCAAAGCCTGGGCAGACCCAAGCTCCGCACGAGCACTCTGCGTGACCGGTAGACTCTCGTCAGTTCTTCGTCCCGCTCGCCAAACAGAGAAGCCGAGGAACTCACGCGTGCCAGCCCAATCAAAGTTGCCCAGCTTCGCGCCACACTTCTTACTCGGACAGGTGATCTTTCCCGCCAAAACGCCCGTTTCGAGGATGGGCGACATCCAGCTCAGGGGCTCGACGAAGTAGGAGGAGCAGGCGGGGGAGGGGAGGAGAGGCGGGTCGGAGGAGGTGGTGTTCGAGGGAGCGGAGGACTGGGCGGAAGGAGCGGCAGAGGAGGAGGTGGTGGTGGAGGGGAAAAGGGAGATGTCGCGGTCGGGCGGAGGGGCGGCGGAGTCGGCGGGTGACGCTGCGGCAGCCGGTGCAGAAGCTGCTTCAGAGGTCGACTTGCTCGTACTGGCCTCAATGGGCGCGTCGGATGGCGGCTGCGCCTGTCGAGGCTGAGGTCGCGCGACAGGCTGCGGTCTTGGAATACTCGACGGTCTCGGCTGGACGACTCTGTTCCCAGCAATCGGCTGCGAGATCCTCAACGCCGCAAGCGGATTGACGGGCGGACTCGCCGCCGCTGCAGCTGAAGGCGCCGCAGCCGAAACCGGTTGCGACGGCTTCGAGAGGTCCTGGCGGCGCTGTTCTTGCTCGGCGCGATAGGCGGCCATGTCCCGCCTATTTGGGGCGAATGCTTGCTGTCCTTTTCCGAGTTCGTGCGCGACGATGTGTTCGCGAGCCGCGAGTTCTCGTCTGCACGGACCAAGGTGTATCCGCATCAGCACCCACAGCACGCAGTAGAAGTCTCTTCGAACGCACCTGCACATCTTGCACCTGATCCTCCGACCCGACACAACCACCTCCCCTCTCGATCCAATCTTCTCAATCTCCGCCTTCTCCGCCTGCTTTTCCCTCCCGAAATCCGAGTCTGTCTTGCGAGGCGTGAGGCGCTTGCGAGCTGGTGGAGGTGCGAGAGTGGGGATAGCGGGAGCGAGGGTAGAGGAGGAGGAGATGATTTCGGATGGAGGGAGGGAGGGTTCGAGAGGGGTTGGAGAGGTGGAGGTGTGAGGCGAAGGAGGGGGAGAGATTTGTTGCGACGACATGGATGACATGGAGACGCTTCGGGTGCCGGGAGGCGTGTTGGGCGTCTGTGAAGGGGAGGGATAGTAGGCGAGCACGATGGAGGGCGGCGCTCCTCCTGTTTCGCTCACCCGTCAGCGCGGGACCCATCGAACGAAGACTCGCAACGCACCCGTGATCTGCGCCTGCGCAAAGGACATGAGGAAGCGCCGCTCCTCAGGCCACTGCGGGAAGATCGACAGGCGGGTCAGCGGAGAAAGACGAAGGGGGACGGCAACCGCAGCAGCGCACCTTGACAGGGTCCCACTCGCACTGACAGCGCTCAAAGAGCTCGAGCTGCATCATGAAGAACTCGCTTGGCTCGACCTGCGGCCTGACAGAGCGGATCCGCTCGACCGCCTGCTCGACGTTCAATCCGTGGTTCCGCATCAAGTACGCCGCGAGGAGCGTCGTCGACCGCGAGACGCCCGCCTGACAATGTACGAGGACGTTCTGCCCCTTTCGGAGAGCGGCATCGATGAAGTCTGCGGTCGGGACAAAGTGTTCGAGGATGTTGGTCGAGTCGGTGTCGTCGACGGAGACGCGATGCAGGTCGATGCCGGGCGCGGCGGCGTACTCCTGGCGCACTGCGAGTCGTCTCGAAGTCAGCTCGTCAGACGGAGCGAAGGAGAGATGCGCACTCACTGCCCGAGACGATGCACGAGATGTTGCGCTCCTTGAGCAGGTTGTGGTCCTGGCTGGCGTTGTAGTCGCCGATCCACAGTCCAGGAATGACCTCCTGCATCGGATCAGCCATTCTGAGCAGAGCGAGACGAGCGAGTGTGCGTGAGGAGGCGAAGGGGCGAAGGTGGTCCGCTGGACGTCCTCGACCTCGTTCCTTTGGGTTGCTTGCTCGTCTCACGTCGCTGTGGGTAGCGACTCGACGCTCTTGCGCACTGATAGCCCTCGCTGAGCTAAAGTGGCCGACCTCGTCCTCCTCGACTTGACCTCTTTCCGGTCGACCTCGCTCGTCCTCAAGACAACGTCGCAATACAACTTCTGCTGTGCTTGGTCATTACCCACGCTATTCGAGACGCTTGCCGGAGCGATTGCCCGTCGGCCCGGTGCACGGCACGCCGCCGCGTCGTGCTGCATCGTCTCTTTGACTTTGCCCGTTCGCCTTGACTCGCCCTTCGCTGGACTCGCTGGACCGCTCGACTCGCTGCCCCACTGCTGCACACTCGCATACACCACCCGAGCACACCTGACTACTGGTGAGGCGAGCGTTTCTTGCCGAGGCGACGATTGCCGTGCCGTCCAAGCGGAATCGCTCGGCGGCGAAGGCGGGCAAACGACGGGACGTTGAGATGGTGCAGGGTCACAGGGTCTCTAGGCAGCGCAGGCGGACAAGGGCAGAGCGAGTCAGGCGGTGGGCATCGCTGGCCGTGCCGTCGACTTGCTCTCCCTCGCGCCTCCTCCTCTTCTGCGCCTTGTCTTCCTTCGTTCGCCTGCCCGTTGACGTGTGACTGCTCAGTGCTTCAGGTCCAATTTTAAGCGTACCGCTCAGTGCCTCGCGATCAACCGCTCACCCGTCGCTCCTCGTACTGACCGTTTCCCTCCTCGGCCCCCTACAGCACGATGACCGTCGCCGCCCTCCCTCCCGCGCGAGACCTCTCGCACCACCTCAACGATATCGCCAAGAACCGCTTCCCCTCGCCCCTCAAGGACATCTTCAACTACATGGACCGCCCCGGCATGATTAGCATGGCGGGCGGTCTTCCTCACCCCTCCCTCTTCCCCTTCAACGAGCTCGCACTCCAAGTCTACCCTCCCTCGACCGACCTGAGCGAAGGCGTCCCTCCCCTCGGCGAACAGACGTCCCTCACGATCCCCAAGTACCCCTCCGCCAAAACCGACACTTCCCTCACGTCTATCCTCCAGTACGGCGACTGCAGCGGCAACCCCGCTCTCCGCGCATTCCTCCACCAGTTCACGCTCGACCTGTACCAGCCCGCCTACTCCGACTTCCAGATCCTCCTCCACGAGGGCAACACCTCTGGCTGGACCAAGGTCGTCCGTTTGCTACTCGAGCCAAATGACTGGGTGCTCTGCGAAGAATTCACCTTCCCCTCGTCGATGAGCGTCTGGGTACCCATGGGATGCAAGGCGGTGCCCATCAAGATGGACGGCGAGGGAATGCGGGCGGACCACCTCGAGGAGGTGCTGGCGAGCTGGGAGACGACGCACCCGGGTACACGACGACCGCACGTCATGTACATTGTGCCCGTCGGCCAGAACCCGAGCGGCTCGACGATGCCTGCCGGGCGACGAAAGGAGATCTACGACCTCTGCGTCAAATATGGTGTGTTCCGCGTCTCTTTCTGCACATCTGATCTCGCAAGCTGACTTCACTGCCGCCGCAGACATCATCATCTGCGAAGACGACCCTTACACGACCCTCCAGTACCCTCCCTTCGAGATTTCCGACACTCCCTCGCCCGTTACGCCTAAGAGCGGCGCAGACTTTGCCGCCTCGCTCGTCCCCTCGTTCCTCAAGTTCGACTACGAAGGGCGCGTCATCCGCCTCGAGTCGTTCAGCAAGACAATTGCGCCGGGCAACCGATTGGGCTACTTCGTCGCCAACCCGCTGTTCACGGAGCGCCTCTTGCGAGCGACCGAGGTCGAGTCGCAGACACCGTCGGGCTGGTCGCAGGGAATCATCCTCCAGCTCCTCACGACCTGGGGACAAGCGGGCTACTTGACCTGGCTCTCTCGCCTGCGCGACACCTACCAGACTCGCCGCGACACGATGTGCGCCAACCTCGCCAAGGTCTTCAAGGCTCTCCCCGCTGCGACGTACGCCTCGGACGTCCCAGGCGCAGAAGGGATTGCTCTCTACCCTTCCTCGACCGACTCCGCTCAAATCAAGCCCGACCAACTGCCCGTCGCGAGCTTCACCGCACCAGTTGGCGGGATGTTCCTTTGGATCAAGTTCTATCTCAAGGGCGCGCCGCGGTACGGCGAACTCGTCGCGCAGGGCGTCGAAGATCCCGAGAAGTCTTTCATGGACGAGTTCTGGACCGCGCTCGCCGACAACCTCGTGCGTCTCTTCCTCTCTCTCTCTCACTAGAAGCTTCCAGACTGACGCACCTCGGCACGCAGGTCCTCCTCACCCCCGGCTCGTACTACACTCCCTGGGAAGGCGCGCACAAGCTCAGTACCTCCGCGCGCGGCGCAGAACGCGACGTCGGCTACATGCGGTTCGCGTTCTCGTACAACTCGTCGGACGAGATGGAGGAGGGGATTAGGAGGGTCGAGCAGGTGGTCAAGAAGTTGTGGGCGTACTAAAAGGGCGGCGCTTGTCGCTCGCCTCGCCTCTCTTTATATCGCACATAGAAGCTTTTCGAGATTGTAAGGCTGTCCTTATTGCGTATGAACTTGCGGATGGGTGAGCTCAACGCGAGAGGAGAGCGGACGAGAGAGTCCTCAGCAGTCTTCGCCTTCCTCGCTGGCTGCAACGCTTAACGACGAGAAACAGTCCTGCGACTTACAACGTCCAACGGGGGAAACAGCGATGCAAAGTGTATGTGGGCGAGAGGCACAGAAGGGAAGAAGAAGGAGGAAGATGCACGATGAGGGGAAGAGGGAAAGGGGAATGCGACGAGAACGGGGTGGGATCGCTCGCGCAGCGGGAATCGCATTGACGAGGAAAGGGGTAGAACGAGGAGGCGAGATATAGACAGCGGGAAAGGCGAGGGGAATGATGAAGTGTCCGTGGTAGCGAGGGAGGAGGGCGTGCGAGTGCGGCAGGGGGTGTGCGGCTCATACAATCATGATATACGGCACCTGTCGAAGCCTGTACAGAGTCGCGAACGAGGCTCTAGTCGTCGGAGTCGGAGCCGGAGAAGAAAGGGAAATCTAGCGCTCGTCTTCCCACTCGTCGTCGTCGTGTCCTCCCTTCGAGCGTCGCAGCGAGCCGGACGACCTTCGCGACGCGTCGCCATTGCGCTCTTGTGCGTCGTCGTCGTCTAACCGCAAGTGACCGAATGCCGCAGAGTTGTGAAGCATCGACTCGTTCTCGCCGGAGAAGGTGAAGCCGCCTGCGGAACCGTCCAAGTCAGCTCGACGTCGCTTTCAAGAGGCGCACGAGCGGACTCACGGAAGTTCTCCTGCACCGAGCTCGTCAGCGGCTGCACCGACGGCCTCGACCTCGTCTGCTGTCGAATCTCGACCGGCGCGGCCCCTCCATCCTTCTCCACCTCGCGCCTGCCAATCTTGCTCGCATGGTCCAGCCAATCCGCCGACGGGTCCGAGTCGTCGAACTCGACGTCGTGAGGCGCCTCGTCGAACAAGTTGGCCTCGGTGAACTCGGGGTCAAAGTTGGCGACCGATTCGTCCGAGTCGACGTACGGCTTGAACGGTGGCGGGATCGCGCGCTGGGCGAGGAGGTCCCAGTCGATCGACTTGAAGAACGGGTGCTCCTTCAGCTCGGCGGCGTCGCGTTGTGCGCCGAGTCGGTGCTTCGGGTTGCGGTTCAGGAGGCCCTTGACGAACTGCTTGCCATCCTCGCCGATGACGCCTCGAGGGAACTTGACCTTGCCGAAGCAGCTGTATGCGCGCATCGAGATCAGCACGCGAGACGCGCGCGAGAGCGAGAGCGCCGAACGTACATGAGCTTGTACATTTGCTGCGTGTCCTCGGCGTAGAACGGGCTCCAACCGCAGCACATCTCGAACAGCAAGACGCCGAGCGACCAAAAGTCGACGATCTTCGAGTAGCCGTTGTCGTCGAGGAGGACCTCTGCGTGCGAAGTGGACGGTCAGCGGTCAGGACATGGGGCATAGGTCAAGGAGGGGGAAGGCCAACCGGGCGCGAGGTATTCGGTCGTGCCGCAGAAGGTGTTGGTGAGGGCGTCGGAAGGGAGGTCGGGTTTGGAGAGGCCAAAGTCGCAGAGGACGATGTGGCCCGTCGCGTCGAGGAGGATGTTTTCAGGCTTGAGGTCGCGGTAGACAATGTCAAACTTGTGGAGGTGCTCGAAGGCGAGGACGATCTCGGCGGTGTAGAACCTCGCGCGGTCTTCGGTGAACCTGCCCTCCTTCTGCAAGTGGTGAAAGAGCTCTCCGCCGCTCTTGTAGTCCATGACGAGGTAGAGGTTCGTCTCGGTCTGGAACGAGAACTTGAGGCCGAGGAGGAAGGGCGAGTCGGACGAGCGCTGGAGGATCTTGCGTTCGCCAATCGTGTGCGCGACTTCCTTCTTGGCGATGATCTCGTGCTTCGAGAGGACCTTCATGGCGTAGATGCGCTTCGTGTCCTTCTTGCGCACCTGGAAGACGCGACCGAACGTCCCCTTGCCGATCATCCGCAGGAAGTCAAAGTCGTTCGGATGCAGGCCCTTCTTCGACTGCGGATGCGTGGCGAGAAGATCGTCCCATCCGTCGTCAGCCCGCAGTACTCGCTCGAAACTGCGAAAGAAGAGAACAGGACGACTGCGGACTCACGTCAAACTTCTCGTAGCGAATCTGTATCCGAATCTCGCCCGTCACTTCGTGATCCTCGCCTGGTCGAGCGACGAGTCTGCGCACGTTCCCAAGCCCGTCAGCTCCTCACCTCGCGCGGGAGGGAGCACAGAAGGACGCACGGGAACCACTGGTCGACGGTATGGTTGTTGACGAGCCGTGGCCGGATCTCGCACACGCCGAGGAACATCTCCTCCTCGATCGAGCGGTCGTAGATCTGCACCTGCAAGACGCTCTTCTCGTTCATCACGTCGCTGCGCACACCAAGCCCCATCAGTAAACGAGGACGAGCTCGGGAGGAGAGGGGAGACGCACAATGTCACCTCGTGCTTCCAAGTCGGGTTGTAAGCCATCTGGTCGTCCGCGGCGCCGAGGATCCCGCCCTGCAATTCTCTCGGCGCGCCCGTCGGTGTCGTCGGATCGTCATTCGGGCTCCAGACAGTCGTGTTGACGGGCGACAGCGCCGGTCTCGACGGTCTCGGACTCGTCGCTCGCCCGCCGAGGTCGGACGACGTCCCAGCTGCGACGGCGCCGTTGCGGTATTCCTCCAGTGACCGCCCGAGCATGCTAGAAGGCGACTTGCTCATCGCTCCTCCGTGCGCGCGCGTTCCCTCGACCGGCATCGCCATCGCCTTGGAGGACGCCGACGAGCCTGCCTCGGCGACTCGAGCGGTCTCATTCCCCTTCTCGCCGGGGTTCGGACCGCCCCCTGGTGTCGCAGGCAACATGCTCGGCCTCAATCCCTCGGGCTTGCCCTGCTCCTGCAGCGCCAGCAACGTCGGGGGTTTCGGCTTGGCGACGCCGATCGCATCCTCGCCCTCCTCATGGACGGGTTCGCGCGAGACGAACTCGTTCTGATCAAAGGTGACGACGACGTACGGTCTCGAAGCGGAAGACGGAGGCGAGAGGTGTCGCGCCTGGATGAGTTTGACGACGAGTTTGCCGCGCGGGGCGGATTGGGAGGGGTGTTTCGAGCGTGTCAGGGACGAGGGTTGGGTCTTGAAGGAGAAGTCGGGTTCGGTGCGTGAGATGGCTGTCGAGGCGGAGGGAGGGGGCGAGACGGGCGGAAGCGGCGGGGAGGTCGAGTGTGAGCGCGCAGAGACGGAGGGAGAGGTCATGGGTGACGAGGTGGCCGTCGAGGCGGATGCCGAGTCCGACGAGGACGACGAGGGGGTGCAAGTCGAGGTGTCGGTAAACGCCGAACGACGAGTGCGCCGTGGTGGACCGGTCGCAGGAGTGTCGTTCCGCATGGCAGAGACGTCGGGCATGAGGTGCGAGGAAGGTGCGAGAAAGGAGCGAGACGAGCCGAGGCGAAGGAGGGTGGGTTGGGCGCAAGAGGGGTCGCACGGGACCAAGGTCGGATGGAATCGATACGGGGAGCAGAAGTAAAGCAAAGGGAGCTGCGTCAGTTTCTGCGCGTGCTCTTGGAAAGAAGAGTTCGTCGACACCGCCTCGAGCAAGACTGCGGCCACGAGGGATCTGCCTCCTCTCTCTCGTCCCGGGTGGATTCTCCGTGGATCACGGCAGAATCGTGCGAGCAGGTTCCGACGGAGAAACAACGAGTCGCGCGGACGCACCGGTGGTGGGCTGGCTCCTCGTCCCTCCTGGCGTCACGGGTGTCGACGCGCCCGGGGTCGGTGGCTGGGGCGTGAGGCTCTGGGCGCTGTGCGGCTGGCTGCTGCTGCCCGTGGGCGAGTTGTGGCCCTGGCTGCTCGACGCCCGCTGCCCGACGGGGGTCCTGCTGCCCTGTGCTGCTGCTGGCGTCTGCTGCGACGACGGCCTGCGCGACGCCGGCGAGAGAAAGTCGAACGGGTTGCGCTGGTCGGATGCCTTGGGCGTGGTCTGGTCCTGCGGCTGCGACACCCCGCCGAAGAACTTGAGCATCTCTTTCACCCCTCTGTCCCGAGGGTGAGTGAGCTGGTGAGAACGGGCGGTGACAACGCGAGTGCGCCGGTTCGAAGGGGAGGTCGTAGGGGTTGGGTGGTGGGGTTCGCTGGGCGGTCCAAGGGAGCGTGTGGCCCTGCTCAGCTCGCTCTCGCCGCACACAGCTGTCTGTCGAGGGCAAGCTCGAACTCGGCCTCTCTCTCTCTCCACCCGCCCATTCATCACCCGGCCACTTACACACCTCGCACCGGCTAGACTCGGTCGACTATGCATGCTCTGCAATGGCGTCCATTCGAGCTACACACCCGTCCTTGTCCGGATCCGAGGCGAGCAGCGCACGAGCAGCGTCACCGCTTCAACACGGCTGCGTCCACTCGCTCGCTGGGAGAACGGGACCAGCTTCGTAAGATAGTACACTCCAAACAGAGAGCACCCGCAAGCAGCCAATCCCGCCAGCCGTGGTCGACCCTCACTCGTTGACAACGCGCTCTCACTGGTTTCCCTCGCCCCGTCCTCTGCTCGCTGCCCACCCGCACGTGCTGCGATGCCACTCGCGCCTCATCCTTACGGGCAAACAACGACTGTCGAGCAACTGCCCGCTCGAGCCGAGGTGCGCCCACGCGAACTCGCTCGGATCCCGCGATGAGAAGGGTGTTGACAGACCTTCCGTGCGGCACTGGCGGGCTTTCGTGCGACGTGCAGCTGCTGAGGAGGTTGTCTATCAGGCTCGAATGTGCGTCCGACTCGTATGCTGTCCGCTCGCAGCCTGAGGAACTGACACTCGCCTTCCCTCTTCGCACCGCCTCTCTCCCCCTCTTCCTCGCGCGACAGACGCATCCTTCAAGCTCTCTCACTCCCTCACGCTCCACACCCTCTCCGAACTCGAGAACCTCTACATCCGTTCATTTCACGCTCAAGCTGTCCACCGTCAGCAGGCCAGGACAGAGCGTGAGGAACGGACGAGAAAGAAGTGGAGAGCGCAAGCGAGAGAGGCGGATGAGGCGCGAGAGGGGCGGAGGGACAAGGGCGAGTGTGTGGACGTGATCATGGCTGAGGCGGTTCAGCAGATGGACGGGGAGTTTGAGGGGTGGAGCGAGAAGAAGCTCGGCAAGAGGAGGGCTGTCGAGAGGGATGGGCAGCCGAGGAGCGGCGACAAGGTGCCGAGGAAGCAGGTGAAGCGGAAGAGGCAGCTGTCGGCGGCCTCGGCGGGCGAGGAGCGGCCGCAATTCGCGCCTTCGACGTCGTCGCGCCTTTGCCTTCCTCAGCCTGCGGCGTCCTCCTCCCGCACGACTTTCGCCGCGACACATGCCGAGTACGCGCAGCAGCACGACCTGCGCCCCTACGCTCCCTACGACGTGCCGACTCTCGGCAAAACCACGTCAGAGCTCCTCTCCCCTCACACCGGCCTCTCCCCCTCACACTCCGACTCGATCCCTTCGCTCGGAGGTACCAACTCCTCAACATCCAGTTTCTTCGCCATAGCGCTGCAACAACCCCACCCTCTCGAGCACGAGCACGCCGCATCGCCCTTCTCAGCTCGCTCGACCGCCGCGTCGTACGGCACGACTCTCGCCCCTGCATCGTCATCCACGTCTCTTCACTCGGCAACCGCAACGACGGTCTCGCCCTTGCTGGAACACGCCGCTTCGCCTTCATCCGAACTCGCTCCGCCCCATCCAGGCCCGGACCACTCGTCCCAACCTTCTCCCTACCCCCTCCCTCCGCCTCGCTCACTCGCCGTACCCTCCTCCTCCTCCTCACAACCCCACCAACCTTTCACGACCGCCTCCGCGCTCCTCTCAACCCCTCACCAACCAACTCCCACCCCAGCCGCTTCCTCCTCCTCGAAACGCTCGCCAATCTTGCTCGGCTCGCAAGCCTCTTTCTCGGCTCTTCCGCCGGTCCCGCCGCTACCTTTCGATGGACCGCCCCTTCCACTCGGGTTGTCGCAGGGCAGTCAGGGGTGGAGTCGAGCGGGAGCGGTCAGAGGAGCGGGGTTGGGGAGTTCGAGTCCTGATCAGGCGCGGCGGATCGGACGGGAGAAAGTCCATTGCGAGGAGGAGGAAGAGCGCGACGCAGGAGGCGCGGCAGGATCGGGGTCGGGGTTCTTACCTGCTCGGCTGCGGGCGCAGGAGCTAGCGAGCGGGGATGGGAGCGACGACGAGCTTCCGCCTGCCGACTCTGCCGACCTCGACCAGGACGACGACGGGGCGGATGGCAAGGGAGATGGGTTCGACCCGCTCAGTCAGGATACGGTCGTTCATGAGTCGCAAAGCCAGGGGCAGAGCCAGAGCCAGAGTCAGCAGCGGGATGCGGAGTGGTCTGAGGAGGAAGCGGAGGGGACGAGGGAGCGGTGGAAGGTTGGGTAGCTGAGTGATCGAGGCCGGGAGGAAGGGTAACGACGGTTTATCTTGATTCGCGACAAGGTGGTTCAACTCGGATGAGTGCGCAATGCATTGGAACGGAGCGATAGGAAGGGGTATCGCTGTACAGCTGCGAGAGAGACGCGGGAAGCGGTATCGACGAACAGAAAGGTGTCAGAGAGGCGTGCGCGCTAGATCTTCAGTCCCTGCTCCTCTTCGCCAAGGGGAGGAGGCGGATCCGACAGCAGCCGCTTGATCTCTTCCGCCCGCTTCTCCCTGTCCCTCCTCCGTTCCTCCTCCTTCGCAGCGTCCTTGGCCTCCTCCGCGACGACCTCCGCACTCGAGATCCCCAACAACTTCTTCAACTCGTCGTTCTCTTTCCGTAGCGCTTCAAGCTCAATGTCCCGCTGCAAGGCCTCGTCGAGCGGGCCCAGTCCGCGCGACTCGAACTCGTCCCGCATGACGGTTGCCTGCCCAGGTCTAGGCGGCGAAGCGACGAGCGAGGAAGTAGAAGTCGTAGGGATGTAATGGGGTTTCGTTGTGGCGCGGCGGGAGATGTAGCCGCCTTCGTGTTCGAGATTGCGCGAGCGGGCGGTCGAAGGGTGTGCAGAGGCGAGGAGGCGGTCGATATCGGGTTCGGAGCCGTAGTTGGACGGAGGAGGCGCGGCTGCCGAGCTGGCGATGGAAGAAAAGGAGCCGATGGAGGACGTAGGCGATGGCGGACCATGCTCGCCGTCCTCGCTCATCGCGCCGCCTTCGCTCATCCCGCCCGACAACGCGCCCGACAACGCCGCAGCCGCCTCTCGGATCCCCATCGGCTGCAACAAAGGTGACGTCGAGTCTTCCGGATCCTCGCCCTGCAGCGCCCGCAGCGCTTTTCGGATCAGGGACGCGAGGTGCGAGAGGGAGAGTTGGAGGTGGAGCGGGTCGATCGGGGCAGTCTCGGGGTTGGAAGGGTCTTGAGGCGCTTCGGGTGGTGGAGGGATCGTGACGGGCATGTTGAGCAGGAGGGACTCGTAGTGCCGGATCAGCTCGAGGTGGTGTTGCTGTGTCGCGAACTGGGGATTGGAAGCTCTGGTCAGCCTGCTGACCTTTCGAAAGGGCCAAGGGACGATGGTACGCACCGCATGCGCACGGAACTTGCCCATGACAGCCTCGAGCGTGCTCTCGTAGTCCTTCAAGAGACTCGACAACTGCCGGTTCTCCTGCTGAAGCGCCTGATTCTCCATCACGAGCTGCACGTTGAGCTTCTCGAGCTCCGAGTCAAACTCCTCTGCGGATGCGAGCAATGTCAGCGACAGGCAGCCCGGCTTGAGCAAGAAGAGCGCGAGACGAACCCTGGCTGAGGTCGAGGTTGAAGCGTCGCAAGGTGTAGCCCGTCTGGGTGTGTACAGCTTGTGTCTGCACGACCACATTCAGGCCCAGTCAGCACGCCTCACTGTAGCTAGGCCCGCCAACACTGCCGCTGGCCGCACGCACCTTCAACTCCTCCGCCCTGCGATGCAACTCCTCCGTCTGCTGCCTGTTCTGCGACAGCTGCGCCGACAATTCCGACAGCAGACCCCACAGCCGCTCCATCTCACTCCCCTGCGTCTGGTCCATGAGCGTCATTGATCGGGATAGGCGTGTCGAGGTCGGGAGGGAGATGAGGTGGTGAGGGGAGGGTGAGGAGTGGAGAGGTGATGGAGACGCTGCGAGTCTGGTCGGCTGATTCGCACGAGCTCAAAAACAGCCGACAAGCCGCAAAAAGCTGGAGCAAGAGCGGTCGCGAGGGTGATGAGCGGGAGGAATGGCGGACGACGACGAGGAGGTCGAATCGCTTTCGCGTTCGAGGGCTCATCCTGCGCCGTATTCTTGCTTTCATACCTCTCCCTGATGTAGCCAACATCCACAGCTAAGCCAGCGAAACCTCTCTCGAGGCGCTGTCTCCCTGCTCGTCTGCGTCCGACAGCCTGTTCGCTCTAGAGTCGCTGCAATACAGTCTAGCGAACGTCTATCGTCGAGATGTCTTGGCGTCCTTGTCCTTGTCGCCGCGCGAGAGGGCGATCGCAATGGCGAAGGCGCCTGCAAAAGCGAGCACGACCTACGAGCCAGCGAAGCGGACCGGACCGGTGGTCAGTCAATGGGGTACAGCCTCGAACAAACACAGGACGACGCACCTGTCCTGTCCGCAATGACGAGCTGTCGTTGATCAACCTGCTCTCCTCCTCCGCCTTCTGCTGTCCAAAAATCGCCGTCCCTGCCCTCCAGTGCTTGTCCCCGTTCAGCCCCGCCGCCTGCTGCTGCGCGAACCTCGTCTGCGCTCGTCCAGCATACGTCGCCATGTGATCCGTCCCAGCGTAATGGTATGCCCTCGATCTCCGCGACGCAAACGGATCTGGCCGAGCACCTGCCGCGCTTGCTGCGTCCTGACCTGCTCCAGGCTGCCCTCGCCTCGATGGATGCTGCCAAGCATAGTTGGCGCGGTTCCGCCGCTCGTCGTTGTCCGTCCACGCCCCATCTGCCCTTCCTCCGTCCGAAGCATACCCCATCCCTGGACTCGTAGCCGTATACCCCGGGTGTCCAGGTCGTCGTCGATGCGGCGGAACCGTCCCTCCCGTTCGCGAAAGGTCGTACGCTCGTCGCTGGTCTGGGTCGGAGAGGACAGAGTACGACGACGAGAGCTGCTGGAAGCGCGTAGTGCGCTGTTCGGGCGTCTCGGTCGAGGTCGAGGGTGCGTCGGGGTGGTACTTGCGTGAGAGCTGCGGTAGTACGATTGCACGTCAGCTGGCTGTGGGAAGGAGAGGGCCCAGCGAAGCGGTGACGCACCTCGTAGAACTTGTCCCTGATCTGCTTCCGCGTCGCGCCCTTTCCTACGCCCAGCACCGCATAGTGGTCAACGTCGGCGGAGAGAGCAGGCGCCGCAGAGCGAGGATGGGTCGTGGAGAAGAACCGAGGAGGCGGTTGTGGTCGGGCGACTCGGATCGCGGGTCGGAGAGACCGTGCGGCGTGGGATTGGACTGGGCAGTAAAGGGCAGAGCTCGCTGACCGTGTGCAGCTCTTCAGTGGCATGGCAGGCGAGCGGGAGAGCGGGAGCAAGCGGATGGCTCGAGCGAGACGAACGTCAGGACAGCTAGGTCGCCGTTCGACCACAACGTCTCGACACGCTCATCGGCCTTGCTGAGCTGCGACTGTGCTCCTAGGACTCTCTCGGTCAAGCGGGCTGTGTGCCGCGCCGCTCCCGCTGCGTTGCTCACCCTCCGTTCCTCATCAGCTCGAGGCGAAGGCGGGTCACTAAGCGCTGAGGGGGAAAGCGGGATGCGTGCTGAGCACCTGGACGATGCATTCAGATCTTTGCTCGACGCCGGAACCGCCAGTGCCGCTTTCCGACACACGAGCACTTCCTCTCTGCCTTCAGATCAGACGCATCGCCGCAGTTTCCGCCTCGGCTATCCCTCCATTCACGCAAAACTAACCTGCTCTCCTACTGCACGTCGCACACCGCTTGGCGCCCACCCATCTCGCGCGCGGACACACACGCGTTATTGAACCTCCTGGTAGACTCTGCCCGGCTGCTCTTACGCTGTCCTCCGCCTTCCGACTCGCTCGACTCACTCGACAGCCCTTCAAAAGGCCTGCAACGCGTCCGGCACCTCCCGCTTTCACTGCCGCCGGCGAAACGGAGTCTCCGCTTCAACGATACTCCCCTCGTTCGCAAGACCGCCTCACGTTACGGGGTCGCCAAGTCGCGCCACAATGATGACCAGGGCTTACGAGGGAAGACCCTTCAGCCATAAACGGCAGGCCACTGGCGCCAGCAGCGTTTCGCGGAACGGGAGGACGCGCCGAGCACGCGCGAGCTTGACCGGGAGTGAGGCTGCCAGCGTGCGGACTGGCGAGGAGGGATAGCCTTGCAATGCAGTACGACTCGAGTGCACGGTCTGCCAGCACGTTCGAAAGCGAGAGTGAGAGCAGCTGTTCGCGCATTCGCTTGCTGCGGGTCGTCGCCAACGAAACTCGACTTGGTGCCACTCACTCGCTCGCACGGCTTTATCGCGGAGACTCAACGAGAGCAGGACTCTCACGCTACACTATACTACTCGCACATTCTACCGCCAGGCGCGACTCCCTCACACCCCGCTCGCACCCTCGATGTCGAGCAGCTGCTTGTCCTGCTCAGACCCCATCAGCCCGTGCCCGTCCTGCCCCTCGGGTCAGGTCTGCATCCAGACAGGCCGCTCGTGCACCGTCTGCCCCAAGAACATCTGCGTCGACGACGGCTCAAAGGGCAACTCGGGGTCGGGAGGACCCTCGACGGGCGCGACGGCTGGAGGAGCGGTGGGCGGCGTCCTGGGCGTCGCAGCGATCCTTGCGGCGGTCTACTTCTTCTGGTGGAGGCCGCGCGGGTTGGCGGCGAGCAGGAAGAGGTACTCTCAGCACCTCGCGAAGCGGCAGAGCAAGCTGAGCGAGAAGCGCAAGACGGGGCAGTACACGGATGCGGACGACGGTCCAGGACAGACGGACAGGGCGACGAAGCGGACGTCCGTTCACCTCAATATTGACGCGGGCGCGGAGGGCGCCGTCAACCGCAGGAACACGAGTCCGTTGAGGGAGGGAGGCGCGTTGATCTCGGGCAGGACCTCCGAGGTGAGTCGCAGGAGACTGTTTTGCCGTGAAGACGGCCGCTCACCCTCTCTCGAACAGGATGACAACCCGTTCGGGGACCAGAACCGGTCGTCCATTGGCAGCTTCAACGACACCAGCTCGATCCACGACTCCGAGTTCTCTTTCCGCTCCTCGCACACCAACGTCATTCCCATCGCCTACATCCCGCCCCACTCGTCGTCCATGTCGATCGCGGACGCACAGCGAGGCGGCTTTGGCGAGTCGCAGGCCGAACGGCCGCTCCCTCCTCGCTCAGCTGCCGTTCGCGCGTCGATCCCGACGAGCATGGCGAGCCGTGACTCGCTTGCGCTCGCCGGAGCCGAAGTCATCGAGCTCAACCCGCTTCCTCCCGTCCTCACGCCCGACACTCCTGCGGTTCCGCACGGCACGACCGCCAACGGCGCGCCGATCCGCCCGCCTCGCTCGCCTGGTCTCGACCTCAACCTGCCGAAGATCTCTTCCCCTCTCGCCGGCTCTTCCCTCGTCGGCTCGCCAGACGGCCAGATACGCCCCTCGTCCTACATCGCCAGCGGCAACACCTCTCCGACCTTCCTCACGCCTCCATCCAGCGCCACTCCGCGCCGCATGTCCGTCCTGGCCGAACAACAGTCCCGCGCACGCTCTCAGCAGTCCCACCTCTCGACTATCACGACCCGTTCCGGCACCTCGACCATGTCGTACATCCTCGACCCGCCGCAGATCATCACGCCCGTCTCGGGCCAGGGCGTCCGACGTGTCGAGCTTCACCAGGGTCAGGCTGGGCTCGTCAAGATTGGGAGTGCGGCAGCTGTCCCTCTCCCAGCGAGTCCGACCAGCCCGACTTCCTCGGTCAACCCGTTCGACGACTCGAACGCTGCGGCGGCGCGACGTCACTCGCGCATGTCGTCGCAGGATACGGTGCGGGGTGGACAAGGCGCAGGGGCAGACGACTTCGACAGCCGTCCCGGAACGTCGATGACCAACTCGTCGCGCTGGACCGCCTCATCTCTCGCTTCCGAAGCGTCCGAGGCTGTGCAATTCCTCCAGGGACAGACCGTCACCTTCACGAACCCCAACTCGCCCGACCCGCCTGTCCTCCTCGCCAACAGGCGGCTGCTCAACACCGCTTCCGGCGCCTCTTTCGACGTTCCGCAATCAGCACGGTCTTCTGAGGCGTTCGACACCGGCTCGCACGTCCGGCCACTGCTGGAGCGCTCGGCGTGGTCGTCGAGCACTTCGGCTGCGTCGTCAACGGGCGGCACGCAATCGACGGCGATGTCGCCCAGCCAGAGCCGCGACTCGACCGCGACGGCGACCAGCGGGCACATCTCGGTCCTCGAAGGCATCCCCTTCATCGCCTCGCACTCTCCAGCTGACGACCGCATGTCGATGCGCGGCCCGTCTACCAGCTCGGTCAGTCTCGGCTTGCCTGTGAACGTTACTGCTCCGCTGGACGGAGCAGGAGCGCCTTCGCCTTCTCTCGCTGCGCCTACCGACTCCTCAGCGTCCATCACGATCGCGCCGCCTTCGCCTCACCCCTCGACCCTCTCAGCAACCGACGCTGACGACACCGACCCTCTCCCCGCGCCCTTCCTCCCCTTCGCCGGCCAGCGCCCAACATCGACCGCCTCCTCCACTGGCGGCGCCCGCAGCGGCCCAAACGGCGAACGCGTCCAATCGAGTCTCTCCATCCGTTCAGGCTTCGGCTCGGGACTCTCGCAGATCCCGTTCCAGCTTGGGTTCCCGAGCGGGTTCGGCGAAGACGGGTTCTCGGACGCAGGGGGAGACGACGAAGACGCGACGAGGAGGAGCTTGTTGAGCGCTAGGGACTCGACGTTCCCGCCTAGCGAGGTGGGCGATGTCGAGCCGGATGCGCAGGAAGACGAGGATGCGTCCAATCCGTTTGGTTCGCATGCGGAGGTCGACGACTCGAGCGCGGACAAGGCTGCGACTGCTGACCCGCGAGCATCGATGGACTCGCTCGCTCTCGCCGTCGGGCTCTCCGCCAACCTCGACGCACAAGCCGACGGTCAATCGTGACCTCGCCTTTCCCTCTCTTCGCCTGTATTACTCCTCCCTTCGCTCGCTTGTCCACACCTTGTCGTGCCGCCTTCTCTCAACACAGACTTTCGTTTCGCGTATCTCCTATGGGTTGTAGCATCGTTTCTTCTGGTCTTCGCACCGAGCTGGTATCGGATCTTGCGGGTCATCGTACGTTGGGCCTGTTGAGCGTGGTGTGAAGCGAGATCTGCGCGCGTTTCTCTCCGCCCTCTCCATCCCCTCGATCTCTTCGTCTGTACAACTTGCGCACTCGACTCGAGTAAACCAGCTCAGATGCAACACCTACGACTCAGCATACCCTCGAGGTCGTCCCGCTCAGCCTCCCACGCCCTCCGCAAGTCCTTCCAGCGCTGCTCCTCCTGCTCGTCCTCGATCGCGACCCGACCCGTCGCCGTCTTCCTCAGGTTGCCTCCCGACTTGGACTTCGATAGCGCCCGGACGAGCATCTTGCCGCCTCGCAAGCTGCCGAGGCTGACCTTCCGAATGACAGTCGCGACACGAAGCTGGACGTCACCCACTGGTCCGCTGTCGCTGTGGCTGCGCGTTGCCCTCGTCGATCCGATGCGGTCGCCTCCCAAGCCGTCGCCAGAGCAAGCAAAGTCGAGCAGGCTCTCTCGCTCGTCGCCGTCGTCATGCCGCCAGTTCTGCCACGCTTTAGGCGGGGCAGGATGGATCGATCTGTGCAGCGTCGCGCTGAGGCCGGCACTGTGCAGGTCGGGAAGAGAAGACATGCCCTCTTTGCGAAGCTTGAGGGAGGACAAGCCCGGCGGAGCCTCCCTGCGCTTCTGGGCGAAGCTGGACTTGACTGCGTGCGCGAATGAGGATGTACGTGGAGGGAAGAGGGGCTGCTTGAGGTCGACGCTGGCGTTGGCGGACGTCGGTGCCGAGGAGGAGCAGGAAGGTCGGCTGACAATCGGTGCCATTGCGTGCGCCCAGAATATCGAACCGCCTGTCTGCAACGACGCAGACGACGTCTCCGTCGAGTACTTGCGGTCGTCATTGCCAGCCGAGTCAAGGCGGCGGAACGGCGGACGAGCCGAGGACGCGATGTGCGTCGGAACGTCGGCGGGTGCCCTGCCCGTTACAGTCGTCGACGCGAGCAGTCCGAGGAGCGCCGCTGCCTTCGGCGGAACGATCGAACACTCGGGAGGCGGCGCCGAAACCTGCAGCAAATCGCCGAAAGGCAGACTTGACGAGCGAGGAGGAGGCGAGCCGGTCCATTGGCCTGGCTCGATCGGCGATGTCAGCACCGAGATAGGTGGCGGAGTGTTCAAAGATGTGTCGATCCGGATCAGGTTCGGGTAGTTCGGCGAGGGAGGAGCGGGGAAGCGGTAGGGTGAAGGTGCGGGCGGAGGAACCGACCAAACGAGAGTTGGCACGGCTGAGGCGGGCGGAGTGAACGTCTTCGGTGTCAGAGGAGGCGGGGGGAGCTCAATTGTCGTGTTCAGCACGAGTGTTGTGCGGGCCGCAGAAGAACGGACATCGTCAACTTCGTCCAGCTCGAGGAAGGTCGCTGGCGGAGCAGGTAGCGGTTCTTTTGGCGGAGGAGTAGGCGGGACGTCTGGCGATGGTGGAAGGCGAAGGCTGTCGACGGTGAAGGAAGTCGAGAAGGCTGCGCTCAACATGCGTTAGCTTCAAGTCACTTCCCGGCGGTTCCACCGTACTCACCAGACGCATCAAGCATCCCTTCAAGCTCTTCGACAGCCGCTCCGACCCGCCCATCCTGCATGATCGCCTTTTCCCACGCAACTTCCCTCGCAACCTGCATCCTCCAACTCTCCAACCCGCCAACCTCCTCCATCCGCTGTTCCTGCCACGCCGCAATACGGTCGTCCCTCGCATACTTGTCGACCAGCAAGAGCTTCGATTGCCGGAGAGGAGCGGGACGAGCAGGGTCGGGACGGAGGTAAGGGAGGGTAGGGAAGTGAGGGTCGATGGCGGTGTCTGTCGTCCTCGGGCGATTCGTACGACGCTCTTTGCGGGATGGGCGACGCGTCGGCAGTGTCGAGTCTTTGGTGGGACGCGAGCCGAAGAAGAAGGACTTGAACGAGCTGGTCGTGTTACTCCGTTCGAGGCCGTCATAGGCTTGCTGCTGGTGGTCCTGCGCGTGCATCGTCGAAGCAGTTCCTGTATGCAGTCAAGCGTCCGTGCGAGAGCTAGGAAGAGGCAAAGAGAGGAACCAACGCACTCGAGGATCTGCGAACGCCCGCGTCCGCCCCTTCCTCCCTTCTCGGCCAAAGTCTCCGCGTCCGTCCCCTCATCAGCAAACAGATCTAGGAGGCCCCGTCGAGGCGTTCAGGAGGCTCAGAGAACGCCGCAGGTGCGAGGCGTGTGCGCGTGTGCGGCAGGGAAGGACGCGCTCAGTCCGTTGAAGGTGGGAGAAACGTTCAGGCCTGCGGACGGGTCAATGAGGGCGCGGTGTGTGCAGACTCGAGCGTCGAGCAGGTCGCAAGCCGCGGGGCCAGACAGACGCGCGGAAGCGTTCGAGAGCTGGCCAAGCGGGTGTCGATTATCCGCCGAAGGAAGGCCGTCTGGCGGAGAGAGACTCTCCTGACGTCCTCCGACAGCGCAAGGGCGAATCGCGGCACGGTGGACGACTGAAAGCTTACATGCGAAAGAAGAACGCGGGAATACGGAAAGAAGGCGTCTAGTCGCGAGGGGCGACCTGAGGCTCCCAACCCGCAACCTTTGCCTTCGTGGTGTTGTAGCACTTGTATGCGCCACGGGTGCCGGTCAAGTTCTCGTGGTGAGGCTGTGAGAGCGAGTCGTCAGTCGGAAGATCGCGGGAGACCACAAGGAAAGACGCACGATCATCCAGCGCTGCTTCGAAGCCAGCATGACCGGGTCGACTGTAGGAGGGTCGTGGCGGACGTGCGTCAACCACGCGTGCCATTCAGGAGTGACCTGCGACGCGTTGTAGTCGTGCTGGAGCGCAGGACGAGAGTCAGCTTCACGATAGTCGCACTGCAACGGATGAAAGGGAACGCACCGAGACAAAGTCGACCCAGCGGTGCCTCCACTGCGTCTCGTCCCGGTTCTCGTAGAACTTGTTGCCGTGCCTGCGCGACGAGAAGGAGGTCAGCTTGAATCCCTCGACCGACTGGAGCAAGGCTCGACACACTCGTCCTGACCCATGAACTTGCCCGCCTTGAAGTCACCGATGTACTGCAGATCCCGCCATGCCTCTGCAATCAGTCGGGATAGATCGTCAGTACCGTCGGCCGTTCGAGGCGCTTGAGAGGAAGAGGGCGCACGTCGTGCGCCAACCTGGCGGATGTTGTTGATGACCCTCCGGATACTCGGCGTGAGGATAGGGTTGGGCATCTGCAGGTCGTTTGTGCGGGTGCGAGGTGTAGAGAGGTTGGCGCGATGAGGCGAGGAGAGGGTGTGGATGCGGTAATGGCGAGGATCGGCAGAGGCGATAGATGAGAGCTGTCAGCCAGCCAGTACAACTCTCACAGCCCTCGGCAGTCCCGCCAAGCTTCCTCCTCGCCCGTCGCGACTCCCTCAGACCGCCATCACCGCCGAGAGCTGGCCGGTCCTCCCCTCCCTCGCGAACAACAAGCTAGGTGATGCGCCAGTCGTGCTGGCCATCCTCGTCACAGTGTAAGCAGCACAAGTACGCAGACTCACGGTGAAGGGATGCGGTGAGGGTCGGAGCAGGCGTCGCTCGACGAGGCGAAGTCGAGGACGGCTTCCTCGCAACCCTACGAAGCGCCCTTTTGGCTGTTTCTATCACTACAATATGTAATGCCGAATTTACTGCAAGTTCAAGCAAGTCTCTACGAGGCGTCCCCAATTTACCAGGTGTCCCTCCTTCCCCCACCCGGCGCTCTCCCTCTCGACACACCCGCTACAAGCTCAAACGAGGCCGTGCTGCCGCTGCTGACGACGTCAAGATGGCTGGCAGCGACCACGGCGAACCGTCGCCCTCGCACACGCGGCGGAACAGCGGGACGAGCGACTTCCAGGATGCACAGGACACGACCGACGATGTGGCAGCGGCTGGAACCGAGGGACACGGCGAGGCTGGAGAGCAGGAGGCTAGTGTGGAAACTGGCAGCGCCGACAAGCGGGAACACGCTGAGGGAGACGCTGCGATCGCTCAAGACCAACACACCGTCACCGCTGCGTCGACCTCGTCGCTCAACCTCCCGCTGAAGGACCCGAGCCCGTCTCTCGAGCCAACCGCAGCGTCGAACGAAGAGCTCGTCGCGATCCTGCGCGCGCAAATCACCGATCTCGCGAGTCAGGTCACGAGCCTCAACTCGAAACTCGTCAAGTCGTACACGACGAGGGGAGAACTCGAAGACGAGTTGCACGAGAAGCAGGAGCAGGAGAGGGCGATGCGGAAGAGGGTTGCGGACCTCGAGAAGGACAAGGAGAAGTGGGAGAAGGAGATTGAGGCAGGAGGTTGGGTCGAAAAGGTGCGTCTCGCGTTCTATTCCAGCTCCCTGCGCTTCTACTGACTCTCCCTCGCGTGCAGACCCACGTCCAAGGCGAGATGCAGCGGCTGATGGCGAAAGTTGTCGAGGAGACGAAAACTCGCGAGACGGCCGTCCAGGCGCACACCGCTCTCGAAACCGAAGTCGAGAACCTCACGTCAAATCTTTTCTCCGAGGCGAACAAGATGGTCGCTTTCGAGCGTCTCGCGCGGGCGCGGGCGGAGGAGAAGACGCGGACGGTCGAGGAGGCGGGAGTTTCGATGCAGGCGCTGCTCGAGGAGGTGCAGGTCGGATTGAAGGACACGGTTCTCAAGCTCGAGAAGCGGGATGAGGAGGTCGCGACGCTCAAGCGGCGCCTGGCTGCGCTGGGCGAGCCGGTCGAGGAGGACCAGGTCCAGGAAGGCGAATCAGCGGAGGGCGACGTCGGCGCCATCGTCTTCTCGGACGGCGAGCACCTCACGCCGATCGATACGCGTGTCGCTGCTTCTGCCGGCCCCTCCTCAGCCACTTCTCCCTCGCACCTCTCGGCTCCGAAACTCCTCACCTCTGTCCTGCCCTACCACGAGTTCCTCGCCTTCGTTACCTACCTCCGCCAAACGCGCGTCTCGGCACTCAACCGCCCGCCCGAAGGCGGCAGCTTCTCTCACCCCGCTCTCTCGACCCGCAGCTTCGCCATGGACCCCTCGCACCCTCATTACCTCACGCCCGCCCAGCTCCTTGCGCCTCACCTCCTCCTCTCGACTCACCTCTCCCAGCCATTCCTCAAGCGCTGCGTCGAAGAAGACTCCGACCCTGCGCTGCGACTCGACCTCGCACCGGGACTGGGCTTCCTCTCGCGCCGAGGAGTCGGGACGGCCGTCGTCGACGGGACGCTCCTGATCGAGCCGCTGCATGCGAGCATCGATTTGCCGTCCGACAAGTGCGCCATGTGCGGCTGCAGCCTCGAGAAGTGGTTGCCCAACTCGGGCAACGTGCGAGGGGCAAAGACGCCGACGACGTCGGTTGCGGCTGTGAACCAGACGATGCGCAAGCTCGGCTCGTCGCTCTTCTCGCGCTCGTCGTCCAACAGCACACCTACGCTCTCCTCCGTCTCGTCGTCCTCGCCCACCGCCTACCACTCACACACCTCGTCCACCTCCTCCGAATCCTTCACCTTCCCCCCTCCGCAAACCTCGGCCTCGCACCACCCGCACGACGCCTCACTCCTCGTGCACCTCTTCCGAATCTCCGACACCTCGACGCAACGCTACCCGATCTGTCCCTCGTACTGCCTCGCGCGTCTTCGAGCCGTATGCGAGTTCTGGACGTATATCCGCGTCATCGAACGCGGGTTGTTGCTTGAGGAGGGCTTTAGGTTCGTGAGGGGTAGGGGAGACAGTAATGCGAAGGAGCTGGGGGTGAGGAAGGTCACGGACGGGATTGTTTCGCCGGGGAGGAAGAAGGAGCGTGATGGTGAGGACGGCAAGGACGGACTGGGCATCAGCGGATCTGGCGCGCCTGCGAGCGGGGAGGGCGAGGGTGTCGAAGCGAGGGACTTTGAGACGGAGGACACGCATGGCGAGAAGGGCGAGGCGTCTGCGCAGGGAACGCCCAAGATTGTCGAGCCCGAAGCGAGCGAAGAGGCTCAGCACGACGACGAGGCAGAAGGCAGGCGCTGCACGTCGAGCGATCACCACGGCGACGAGGGCAAGCCATCGAACAGCTCCTCGACGTCGCTCTCGTCCGCCAAGGGCGGCGCACCTCCTCGTCCTTCTCGCTCGTCGGCGCGCACTTCGCCTGCACCGTCAGCTACGCCATCTCCTCCCGGTTCTCCGCGCGCCTCGACTGCGCCGTCGACCCCTCCCGCTCTCCCTCCTCGACGAGGCGGACCGCCCAAGCACCCTTCTCTCTCGGCGTCGACGGAGGAAGGGGGCGAGACTATTATTGGCAGTGCGATAGGGTGGGAGGACCGGTGCTGGAGCGAGGTTGTGCGTTTGAAGGAGAGCGTGTTCTGGACGCGGGTTGCGGCTGTCGCGCCGGACGGTGGCGAGGTGCCCAGTCGGGGTGCGCGGGTGTGGGTGCAGTAATCGAGCACAGTAATACAACTTGCCATAAGCTCATAATGATGCTTACTCGAGGTTGTTACTCAGCCATCTCGCAACTTTGGCAACTTCCACCTCAGCGATCTCCGCGCCCTCGCTCGCACTTGCTCTGACTCTCTCCCTTTACGCCGTCTCGTGCTCGTCCATAGACCTTCACAATGTGAGTGGCACAGTCTACAGACTACACCGACCGCCCCAACCTCTGTCCCGCGCGCTGACCCCGTTCACGTCCCGCTTGCAACCTCATCGCTCCACGCCTTTCCGCGCTCTCTCTGCCCCGTCTCTCGCTCGCGACACGCTTGCGATGCACTCACAGGGTTGCCAAGATTGCTGTCATCTTTGTGAGTCGAGCGCGAGTTCTTCCATGCCGTTGTCGCTCTTGTACTGACTAGCTCCGTTTTCGATCAACAGTACTCGACCTGTACGTCCATGCCGCAATCTCACGCTCTTCCTGCCCTCCATACCCTCCAAGACGGCCAGCGAAGTCTCGCCGTCCCCTTCGCCTCGCTCTCGAAGCGCCCGCCCGCTCGCTCGGCCTTATCCTCCCCACTTGCCCTTTTGGCGACACGAACACGACACCGAGGATCGCAGGTACTGACTGCTCCTGCTTTGCTGCCAACAGACGGTCACGTTCGCACCCTCGCTGAGGCCATCGCGGCCGAGGCCAAGACCACCGGCGTCGAGGTCGACCTCCTTCAGTTCCCTGAAATCCTCACGGTACGTTCCGCTGTTGCCCTTACTGCCCGAGCACGTTGCTGATGACATACTCGCGACGCGCAGGAGGAGATCCGCGGCAAAGTGAGCCGAGACGACTGTTCGAAATGAGGAGAGCCTCCCGCTCACCCTCCTCTCGCGCACCGCAGATGCACGCTGCTCCCCGCGGCGACTACCCCGACGTCAAGCCCGACGACCTCACCCGCTACGACGGCTTCCTCATGGGCTTCCCGACCCGTTACGGACGCGCGCCCGCCGCCGTCTCGGCCTTCTTCGACGCGACCGGCGGCCTCTGGGCCAAGGGCGCCTTGATCGGCAAGTTTGCGTCGGTCTTCACCTCGACTGCGTCGCAGCACGGTGGCCAGGAGTGAGTAGCTCGTCGAAACCATCATTCCAGGAAGAGCGGAACGCTAATCTCGACGCTCCGCAGGACCACCGCCCTCACGACCGTCCCCTTCTTCGCCCACCACGGCATCACCTTCGTTTCGCCCGGCTACGCCGCGGCCGACTTGACCGACATCAACGAGATTGTCGGCGGTTCGGCCTATGGCGCCGCCGGTATCGCGTGTGGTGACGGCTCGCGCGGCATCTCGGAGAAGGAGCTCAACATCGCTCGGAACCAGGCGACGTACTTTGCCAACACGGTCAAGACGTTCGTTGCGGGCAAGACTGCGTAAGCTTCCTTTGCCTTTCACGCCTCTTTTCCACCCGCCGACCAGGACAAAGGAGGAGGGAACGGAGCGGAAACTTCCGCCAACTCGCAAAACGAATCTAGAAGCAACGACGTGACTCTTGAGTGCCTTCTGATCGATCTCGTGTCCGAGAGAGAGGGAGGGCCGCGACTCGGAAGGCGGAGGGGAGAAGCTGTGCTCAAAGGGCGCTTTGCAGCTTGTTGCGGCCCTCTCTCCTCTCTCGGGCTTGCTCTTCGTGACTGCTTGTGCTCGCTCTCTCGCTGGACGTGTTTCGCTTCACATCAACCCAACCACTACTCAGCCGACCGATCGCTGACCTTCTCTCCCTTCCTCCCCTCAGTCTCGAAAAGCATGCCGCCGGCCTCACCGCGACTGAGGGCGCTGCAGCAGCCACGACCGGCGCCGCCGCCGCAGGTGCCGCTAGCACCACGACCTCGACCGCCGCTCACCCCGAAGAGGGCGCGCCTGCGCTCGGAAAGGCCATTCCTACCGAGTCTGGTGCGTCTCGACTCTTCCCTTGCGTCTTTCGAGGTTGCTTTGTTGACGACTGATGTGACTACGTGCAGCCACTCCCTACACCGTCGACGAGTCGACCCCCGCCGCGACCAAGACGCCCAAGGAGAACGACGCGACGTCCGAGCCTGCCGCAACTACTCCCGCTACGGCTGCTGAGCACACTCCCGCACCGGCGCAGAAGGAGACGACCCCTGCGCCCGCGGCCGCTGCCACGCCGGCTCCCGCGGCTACGGCGACGACGACGCCCGCTCAGCAGAAGAAGAAGGGCGGCATCTTTGCGATGTGCTGCGGCGGTAACTCGAGCAACTACGAGTCGTAGAGTGGCGCAGTAGGCGTTGCGGATCAAGTGGGAGGGAAAATACCAACCGAAGGAACGGACGGACGAGCAAAGAAGAACAAGGGTTTTAGCGTTTCTCTCTCCTGCTCTCGTAATAGTAAGCTTGCTTAGCCTTGTGTTCCCATCACTCGCAAGTCGCGGGAGAGACGTAAGAAACGAGGTTGCCTTTGCTTGGTGCAATGCTTTTCCGGTTACTGAATGAACGAGGGCCCGAGAATGCCGTCTCTCCTCCTTCGCTTTAACCCTGAGCGTCGAGGATGGCCTGGACGAGGTCGCCCTTTGTTGCCTTGAGGGCGTTGCAGGCTGTGTGATAATGTGGTTAGTCGGTGAGAGCGAAGGAGAGAAGCGAGGAACGCACCCTTTGCCCGAGAGCAGTTGGCCTTTGAGAAGCGGGGAAAGCAGGTCAGTATTTGGCAGCGTGAGGGGACTACCTGGCCGTCAGCGCACCTGCTGCATGACAACGCTGACTGTGGATGAGGACCAGGCGGAGACGGTCAGCGACGACGCTCGCCAACGGCAGCGAAAGGAGCGCGAACGCACTGTCACCCTCCTCGAGACCTTCTGCGTCCGCCTCGCCTTCCTCTTCCTGAACCGCAGCGGGCTTCTTGCCCTCGGCGCCATCCTCACCGGCAGCAGCGGCCTGCTGGGACGCGAGCTGCTCTGCCTGGGCGAGCTGGGCAAAGTTGGGGAAGCCGGACGAGGCGTCCTCGGGCTTGGCTTCGCCGAAGACGATGTAGCAGTCCGAGACGGGCCTGCGTGCGGAGGAGGGCGAGGTGAGCGAGGACATGGGGATGGGGTGGGAGGAGAAGGCGAGTCGGCAACGCACGACTTGTAGACCTCGGGGTCCTGGATGGCGAGGAGGGCCTGTACGCGGTGCTCTAAGCGTCAGCGCGGCTGTACCATACGCACCCAAGCAGTCTGCTCGTGGAGGACGCACCGACTTGGGCCTGCGGATCACGACGCGGGTGATGTCCTCGACGCGGCGGAGGCCGAGCTTGAGGAGAGCTTCCTTTGCCTTTTCGCCCTTGACCATGGTTGCGCGTGTCGTGTAAGCGTGTGAGCGGTAGCGGAGCAGGAGGAGCGAGGGGGAGCAGCTGATTACAACCCGTTTGTAAAGCTTCAACCTAATGAAACTCAATACAAACTGACTCGCCATCTCTTCCGCTTCACCACACCGCTACGCTGGCTCGAAACGTGCTAGAGAGACTGCTCCTGGTCGCTTCCGCCCTCTGCCTCGCCCTCCTCGTCTCCCTCTTCCTCCTCGACGCGAGCGCCGACACACTGCTTCCTCCCCGCTTCCTTCGCATCTCTACCTCAACGTCAGCTCTCATGACGAACGGGCAGGCTGGATCGTTCTCCCAGCTGCTTGAGAAAAAGAAGGAGGCCTTCTTGAGTGCGGTCAATGGCGGAAAGGGGGTGGAGGACTGGGTGATAAGCGTCGGAAACGAGGCAGGCGGTTCGTCCACCCTCTCAAAGTCCACAGCTGGACTTCCTGTTGACACTTGACCCCCGCAGACCTCGATTCGATGGCATGCGCGATCGGCTACGCCCACTTTGCAGCCGAAACTGCGTCTTCAAGCCGACAATACGTCCCACTCGTCCTGCCTGCCCGCTCCGATCTGCACTTGCGACCTGAGAACATCCTCGCCCTTTCCTCCGCCGGCATCTCGAACGACTCTATCCTCACCATCGACGAGCTGCCAACGTCTCGACTGTCAAACCTGGGCGCGCAGTTCACACTGGTCGACCACAACGTCCTTCTGCCCATGTTTCGCTCCGACCCTTCGAATGTCGAGAACGAGGAGGACGACAAGCGGGTCGTGTCGGTCATTGATCACCATGCCGACGAAGGACGCCATCTCGACGCCTCGCCTCGACTGATCTCGCCGGTCGGAAGCTGCTCGTCCCTCGTCACTTCCCACTTTGCCGCCTCCTCCAGCTTTTCCGTCCCTACACCCGTCGCCGACCTCCTCCTGTCAGCTATCATGATTGACACGCGACTGAAGCCGACATCGGACGGGGGAAAGGCGACCGAGACGGACATCGCAGCCGTCAACACCCTCCTCCCCTTCTCCTCCTTCTCCGCCTCAACCTCGACCACCAACCTCACCGCCACATCTACCTCTTCATCCGCCCTCGATGCGCTCAAAGCGCACAACGCCCGCCTCTCCACGGCAAAAGAAGACGTCTCCCACCTCTCAGGCCACGACCTCCTCCGCCGCGACTACAAAGAATACGCCGAGTCGACCTTCCGCTACGGACTCTCGACTGTCCCGCTGCCGCTCTCAACTTGGCTCGAAAAGTTCTCTGGCTCGGGCGAGGAGAAGGTCGAGGGTCTGCTTGAGGACACGCGAAGGTGGATGGACGAGCGCAAACTCGATCTTGCGGGGATCTTGACCTCCTACACGCACGTCAAGAAGTCTGGACAATCAGGCAAACATCGTCGCGAGTTGCTCGTCCTCTCGCGCGACGAGCGACTCAACAAGGTCGTCTTCCCCGGGCTCGAGAAGGACAAGGTGTTGCAGCTAGAGGAATGGAAGGACCTCAAAAGTTATGGCGTGCAGGAGCGGGAGAAGGACGGCGAGAAGTGGAAGGTTTGGCAGCAGGGGAACGACAAGGCGACGCGGAAACAGGTTGCGCCGGCTCTCAAGGCGTTGGTGCTCGAGGCGGGCGGGCAGGCTGCGTAGAACTCTCGTGGCGAATCTCAGTTATCGCCCTTTCAGGACCAGCGAAGGAGAGTAGCGCGGTCGCTGCTGTTGCAAGTCTTGCGGCTGAGGGAGATCCAGCTGCAGAGGGTATCTAGGTCGACGGTCCGGGTATACTCGTCTCCTCCTCTCATTCTTCGAGCCTTCTTGATGTCGTACTTCCTCAACTCCTCAGTTTTTCGCGTCCGCCGCCTCGCCGAGTCCTTCCTTGCCGGTCGTCTTGAACTGCGCGGGCTCGTTTCCTCGGAAGCGTTTCCTGTGGGTACAGACGAAGAGGTGGTCAGACTCGACTCTCGCAGACTCGATTTTGAGCGGGAGAAGGAAGGGGTGTTTCGGGAATGAAGAGGACGAGAGAGGAGAGAGCGTGTCGTACCGCATGTCCAGCTGCGAGTGTCAGCACAGCTCGTCAGCCGCAAGGTTCCAACGCTCTGAAGGAGACGACCAGTACTCACCATTCCCCTCTTGCACTCGAAGAAGCTCTTCCTCAGCAGCTGGCACTCCTCGGGCAACTCGTCGCTGTGCTCCTTGAGGCACTCTTGCGGTGACCGCGGCGGGTCGGATCGCAGGACGCAGTCACTCCGCAGGATACAGTCGGCGAGCGCTTGTCGGATTCCCTTGCACGACATGCGGACGAGATGAGCGAGTGAGGGATCGAGGGGACGGAGCGAGGTCGGACAAAGGTTGGCTGGTACAAGTGGGCCTTCTGAGAGCAGTAGCGAGTCGATTGAGCTGGTGTGAGCTGTTGTCGCTGGTCGATGAGCGTTGCAAGAGCGAGAGGAATGTCTCCGAGGGTTTCCCTCCTGCCACACACGACCTCAAAGGCTGAGGGGCTCAGTGAACGATGCTACTGCTTTCTAGGACCGCCTACGCGGCGCCCACAGCCTTGCGCCCCTGCACCTGCTCCTTCTCCCGCTCCTTCTCCCTCTCGGCCCGACCCCTCGCTCCACCTTACCTGTACACCCAGCTGCCGACACGAGCAGTCCTCGCAGTGTCGGGACAAGACTCGCAAAAGTTCCTGCAGGGGCTGGTTTCGAACGATGTGCGGAGACTGGCGCAGAAGGGCGAGGAGGACGACCCGGACAAGCAGAGGGTTCTCTATGCGAACATCCTGAAGGCAGACGTGCGTTTCAATCCTGCTCTGCTCGCAGCCGTCGACTTGTGGCTGATATTTGCACCGCTTGCAGGGCCGCTACATGCACGATCTTATGCTCTACCCTCCCCTAACTCCCTCCGCCGACGGTTCTCCCGCTTACCTCATCGAACACGACTCGTCTTTCACCTCCGCCCTGCGAACATACTTCAAGCGACACAAGCTGCGGTCAAAAGTGAAGCTTGGAGCGGGGGCGGAGGAAGACTTGGTCGTCGCAGCAGCATGGAGGAACCCGGCGGATGTTGTTGAAGGGAAGAGTACGGCGGAAGAGCTGGAACAGGCGGAGCGGTGGCTCGAGGAGCCTAGGAAGGGCTGGGATCCGCGAGTAGTGGGGATGGGCCGGCGGTGGGTTGAGGAGAAGGATGGCGAAAAGCGTGAGTTGCGCTTCTCTTGTGTCCCTTTCTGCGGTGGTCAAGCTGACTCTAATTTCTTCAGCTCCTGCCGAGCTCTTTGCCCCCGTCACGCCTGCCCACTTCCAGCTCCACCGTCTCACGCACGCTGTCCCCGAAGGACCCGCCGACTTCCCTGCCCTCCCGCTCGAGGCTAACATCGACTTGATGAACGGCGTCGACTACCGGAAAGGCTGCTACGTGGGACAGGAGCTGACGGCGCGGACGCACCACAAGGGCGTTGTGAGGAAGCGCGGGATGGTGTTCCGGCTGTTCAGGGAGGGAGAAGAGTCCGTCTTGCTTTTGCGTGCATCCCTTGCGAGCGAGACTGAACTTTGCGCTTGCAGCATCCCGACCGAACCTGTACCATCCGCCGCATCCCTCATCCCCTATCCTTCCCTCTTCCCAACTCCTCCGCCCGGATCTACGCTCACCCTCCTTTCCGCCTCTTCCTCCCCTCGCGCCCGTCCATCCGGCAAACTTGGCTCATCCCTCCCTCTCGTCTCTCAGTCTGGCCTTCAGACGATCACGCTTGCGTATGGCAGCGTCCGGACAGACCAAGTCGGCGACGGCGCAGACCCGAACGAAGGCGTCTTCGTCGTCAAGGCGCCCGTGAGCGAGACGGCTACGGTCGGAAGTGAGGGCGAGGCGAAGAGCGACGCGGTTGAGCTGGGAGACGGAGCGGGCGAGAGTCAGGAGGAGGGAGGGCGGTGGCTTGCCAAGGCGTTTTTGCCTGCGTGGCTCGAGTTCAAGCTCGAGGAGGAGGCCATTGCGAAGGGACTGTAGAGGTACAGTAGCAGCAACGAAGCTAGCGAGTTGTAGACGCGTGCCGCCGGAGAGACGGTCGAAGCAGTGCGCCTCTTGCTTTGCAAGCCGCTGTTCTTCCTCGGCTGGCTTCACCGGCGTCGCTCTCTCGGAATGATCTCATAAGCTGGAACTGGCCGAGCGACGTTCCAACGCAGCGCTAGTGAGTCTGCTCACGCCGCAAGCGACAAACCCACGCCCAGCTCCCTTTCTCGCCTTCTTCTCACTCGTCCGTCCAAGCGTTGTATGCCTCCTTCGTCGGGGGCCTCTGAGAGGTAATGTCAGCTGGATTTGCGGAGGAAGGCAGCGAGAGAGCGCACCTCACGGGGTCGGAGCAAAGAGCGCGGCCGTCGCGCAGGCGGCCTGGCAGGCCCCGTAGGCGGCGTTGCACTTGACGAGCGCAATGGGAATGGCGGCGCCGGCAGTGACCGTGCCGAAGCTGCACGGGCGCACGAAGTTGAGCGGAGGAAGAGGGTAAGAGAGAGCTGAACTGACGTGAAGCCGGCGGCCGAGTAGCAGGCGACGACGACGGCCGAGTAACCCGCCTGGCACACGGCGTACGCGAGCGGCCCAGCCTGGACAGATTGAGTCGTGACGGCGAGGAGGAGGAGAGCGGAGTTGAGGAGCGAGAAGCGCATCTTCGCCTGCCGCGTGCACGGCGTCAGCGTGGTCCACATTGCTGTCAGGAGCCGGAGGTCGCTCACGGTGTGTCTTCGTGCGGTTGAAGGCGGGAGACGTGAGGAGTAGGAAGGAAAGACGGGAGGAGGCGAGCGGTCAAGCTGTCCGCGGACGCCCCCGGAAGACGAGCGGACAGCTGCGACATGCGCAAATCGTCTCGAGTGCGCAGAGCACAGCCCTACACAGCGACAGCAAGCGTGCGAAGCAGCGAAAGGCATCTCGATGAGTGGACCTTCCCAATCGCTCGCCAAGCGTGCATTGCTTCGAGTAAGAACTACTGAAGCACCTTCACCGTCTTGTCAAAGCCGCACGAGACGACCTTCCACCCCGCCACGCTGCCTTTGTCGTCCTCGTCCACCAGCACCTCGACATCCCGAATGACACTACTTCCCTTGTCCGCCTCTCGCCTCAGACGCGCCCGCTCACTCCTCACCTCTTCCGTCAATCCTTCCTCCCCGTCTTCTGGCGGTGCCGCAGCACCATGCGCTCCCTGCGAGACCCGCACCCGTCCACGAAGGTCGACGATCCGCAGAAGGCCGTCTTCCGAGTTGACGACGACGCCGGCACCCGAGGGCAGCCATGCGTGACGCGGGTTGAAGTAGTCGGACTGCGAGGCGGTCGTGTGAAGTGTGAGAAGGCGTGTCGCAGAGCGGAACGGGTAGAGGAGAATGCGGGCGGAGAGGGTAGAGGTTTGCAGCGAGAGCAGGGGGAGAGTTGGATGAAGGCCGATGGAGAGGCTGTGAGAGCGAGAGTCAGTATCGGAAGAGTGGGAGGGAAAGGGTTGCTAGGAGGACGCACACGGAGAAACTGGTGAAAGAGTCGCCGTTCTCGTTCAGGTTGACCTCCTCGGTCCACCACTCGCCCGCATCGTCGTCCGGCACCCGCAAGTACCGCAGTAAATGGTCGTCTCGCGCGCTCCAGACCAGCCATTGAGAGTCAGGCAACCAGATGGCGGCTTCTGGGTTGGTCCGGCTCTCGATCGTGTGGACGAGGTTGAGGCTGATGTCGGGGCAGACAGCGAGGGGATCGAGCACTTCGTCGTCGAGGAGGACTGGCTGTGAGGACGAGGTCGAAGCGGGCGCGACAAGGTCGAGGCGGTAGATTCGGACAAGCTTGTCGTAGCCGAGAGTAGCAAGGTGGCGGCCGTCAGGAGACCAGCAGACCCGCACAATGTACTGCGTGGGAGGGAAAGTCAGCTACTGCGAGAAGAGTACGGAACCACCTCAGCGACAGAGTGACACTCGTGAACGCACCTTGGTGTGATCTTGCACCTTGGCTTTGGCTTCCCGCGTCACCAAATCTAGGACTGTCAGGCTTCCCTCCATCGTCGCGCACGATACAAAGCGTCGGTGTTCGGGAAGAGGATGCTGGGCGAAGGAAAGGCAAGGCGAGGGAAGCGAGAAAGAGTCGAGGAGTTTGAAGGTGTCGAGGGAGTAAGCCTTGAGAGTTCGGTCGACGGCGGTCGTGAAGATGCATGGCGTCTCGTTACTGTGCAAGGGGCTTGTCAGCTCGAACGTAGGAGCGGCGATGGAAAAGACGCTCACCACCGAAACCGGTGCTGTTGAGTGTCCCACTCCCGCTTCGGCAGTACGCCTTGCTGTACCGTGAGCACGTTGCTCGTCTCCCGCACCGCCGTCCGCGCCTTACCCTTTGGCAGCTCCGCCTCCTTCAGTTCGAGCCCCACCAGATGCTCGCGGAGAGATGAGGTCGGGTCGTCCACTCGAAGCCTCGCGAGCCTTGCGGACACCGCGTACTCGACCAGGTCCTGCAAGTCCTGCCCTGCGTCGCCTGCTGCCGGGTCCACGTCGAGGAGGGATGGCAATCGAGGGTGTGAATGGGAGGCTTCACTGATGAAGGACTCGAGGGCGGCAGAGTAGCCTTGGGAGCGCAGGAAGCGGGCGACCAGACGATGTGCTTCGGCGAAAGCGTCCATGACGGAGCAGTAGCGGGACGTAGCCAAGTCCAAGCAAGCAAAAGATATACGATGTTCGAGAGGGGGCAGAGAGACTGTACAGAGCTACGAATCGGCATACTACAAAATCGCACCTAACCCTTCTCCCTTAACCCTTGCCCTCTTCCGCCGTCCTCTCTCCTTCCTCGGTGCATGCATGCGTCATCCTCGTAACGGGTACGTCGCGGAAGCGTGGCCCCCCAGCCCCTGGGAAGGGTGGGCGTTATGTTACGAGGGTCGTCCTGCACGACGTCGCCACGGCTTCGGTCCCTGTTGCACGCGAACGAACGTTGTCAGCGCCCGAGAGCAGACTCGGTGATGAGGGAACGGTCAACACGCACGTTGAAGCACAGTCCGGCATCGCTGCCGTCTGCCGAAGCATTGCTGCTGTCCCGCGGCGAGGAACCGAGTCGTTCTGCGTTGCAGTGCACGGACAGAGTCAGCGACGGCGAGTGTGAAGCAATGCGAACGCAGGCAACGCACCGAAAGGGTAGACAAAGGAAGGTCGTACAACATCCACCTGCGCGAGCGAAAAGGTGTGAGCGTCGGAGTCTCGAGTGCGGGCGAAGAGGGGAAGGCGCAACTGACCGCAGACGAGTCCTCGAGCCTATTCACATCTTGTTGTTGACCGCCTAGCTGCGACGCGAAGGCTGCGGACGAGAGGAAGAGCGTCAGTCCGGTTGAGACGGCGAGAGAGAGAGAGAGTGCGAACCGGACTCACCTCGTCCCTGGCCTTGTCGAGGCCGCCATCGCGAGCGGGCGACGTCGTAGGTGGAGGAACCTGCGCGGAAGCGACGAAGCGAGTCAGTAAGCATCGTGAGGCAGGAGGAGCGAGAAGTTGCGCACTTTGCGGTCCTGTAGCAGCTCAGCGGCGTCGGCCTTGCGAAGGCGAAGGTGGTCGAGAGACTGCAGGGCGTACGAAGTTGGGTTAGCGAATGTCCTATGCAAGCGAGGGAGGCCCGAAGGGCGAGGAGGAGGGAGGACGAAGCGTGCCAACTCACTCGACTCGTCCGCCGGATCGCCTCGACGACAACGTCCATCCTGCTCGCCCGCTGATGACCTGTGGGCGGAGACAAGGAGGTCAGCG